GGCTAATGTAGATGTAAACCCTGTCCCTGAAAGAGCACCTGTTCACCTGTAAAAAGTATATCACAAAGAAACTTACCTCAGTGGTGTAAAGCTGAAAAGAAACCAATTTTCCCACCATTCACTTGAGTTTACACCGCTTGGTCTGTGCTTGAGAGAGGCAGAAAATGTTTTTTTCATTGAATAGAGGTTGGATCAATGATCTCTGATGCATTCACCAGTACACCATCTTTTACTAAACAGTGGTAGGCAGAACTGTTGCTCAAGTACAAATTCTTTAATCTGGGACAAATTGTTACCTGCACTTGCATGAGGATATCATTGAAAAAGACAAATGAAAGTATGTTTGGTTACCATGGTGAGAAGCCTCAAATGTCATCTACCCAGTCACTTATGCTGTGTTCGAGTTACTTTGGAAGTCAGATGTCGGAGCTGAAAATGACAAGTTACAAGCATTTCAGTTACCTTGCCTTATACTTGAACAAGGTAAGCCCTAAAATAACTTTCACAGATGTAGCCATCTTTTTCCACCTCCGATTTAGCTTTTTTCCGACTTGGTAACTAAAACGACTTGGTAACTAAAACGCTTGTCACTCCTCATTTTCAGCTCCGACATCTGACTTCTAAGGTAACTCGAATGCACCATAAGTCATGATAAATATTCTAGACAAATTTCAGTGTTCCCACGTCAGCCCAACCCAACTTTGTCCAAACTGTTCAGGGACTTGTTTTTCGGTCGTCCTGTTTGCTATTTTTTTAGCTTTTTTTTTAATCAGTTGTTATTCTTGACTTTGAAAAAGCATAACAACACTTACTGCACTTTAATTTTGCTTAGTGATTCAAATCAGAACACAAAGTCATGTACACTCACCAGCCACTTGATTAGCTACACCTGTTCAATTGCTCGTTAACACAAATAGCCAATCACATGGCAGCAACTCAGTTCATTTAGGCATGTAGATGTGGTCAAGAGGACTTGATGGAGTTCAAACTGAGCATCAGAATGGGGAAGAAAGGGGATTTAAGTGACTTTGAACATGGCATGGTTGTTAGGAGTATTTCACAAACTACTGATCTACTGGGATTTTCACTCATAACCATCTCAAGGGTTTATAGAGGATTGTCCTAAATAGAGAAAATATCCAGTGTGCAGCAGTTGTGTGGACAAAAATTCCTTGTTGATGCTTGGGGTCAGAGGAGAATGGACAAACTGACCCCATGTTAACAGAAATCTCAGAGGGACGTTTCCAACACCTTGTTGAAAGTGTGCAATGAAGAATTAAAGCAGTTCTGAAGGTAAAACGGGGTCCAACCCCATACTAACAAGGTGGACCTTTTAAGTGTTTAGTGTGATTTATTTGAAAGCAACACTGTTCAAACAAATTAAAGGATATTGGCCTCTTGAAAAAAGTAATGCATGGAGCGCTATTGTTACACTAAAATGTAATTTACCCATGGAATAACTTAAGTTTCATAGTCTTTGAAGACAGATGAGAGGGTGGCTTGTTTTAGCTTATACTATAGCTCTGGTCTCAGTGTGTGTGCACGGACAGTGTGCTTTATGTGTGTGTTTAAGTGCTTGTCAGCTCAAGCCTTTATGAAGGTGATAAATGAGGGGCCGGTTGGCTTTAATGGGTAGTTGGACCAGCTGTACCAACTCCTCTTCGCTTACATCCAAACAAGCGGGGAAGGGCACACAATTAGTCACATTGATCAAGTGAGCAGCAGAACAATGGCGTATACCCCACTGGAACCACTTCTGTGCTCCAGTCGCCACCTTCAGTGACCAGACCGGCTTGACATGATGGATAAGAGACATTCAGGAAGCTTGGAGAACGGACTGTAATGTCACAAATCAGTTCATTGTTAGAGAGAGGAGGAAAAAGGAAGATAAAGAAAGTGGACCTTGTTTCTCTGCTCAAAGCATGGTTTGGTTTTAGAAGCAGATGTGAAGCAGACTGAGTTCGAGGACTGTGCTGTGTTTAGTGATTGCAAATGTAAATGATGACATGTGTCCCTCGCTGAGCTGTGTTTGTCATACCATGCCAGTGGAAGGGGGGTAGATACCATTTTGTCTCTGTCGTCATGCTGCTGACTGTTGTGGTCTCTTTCTGACATGTTCAATTCCTCACAGATGTGGCTGTTCGCTTTTAAGGCATATTCTCTATCACGGCCATTAAATCCATGTAATGGTGCCAAGATGTTCCCAGACACAGGAGGCGTATGAAAATATGAAGCCTGCTGTGCTCCAGAAAGACATCTTCAAAACTGAACAGACTTGAAATGTGTATTTTGCAACAGCAGAAACCGCAAGCTGCACATCCAGCAACATAAAGCTGTAAAAGATTATAAAGGGGAGGAAACCTCAGTGGTTGAAATACACAGCTTATGGAAATGTAACCTCAATGTGAAAAGAGTTGTAAAGTTGTGTAAAATGTTCATTAAAGCAGAATGTCATAGTTTAGAAATCGGCGATGGCTTGGGTTGAAAACACTGCAAATTTGTCCCATGAAAAATATACATATCTATCTAAAATTTGATGCCAGCTACATGTTTCGCAATGCTTGGACAGGGGGAAGTTTATTATGATATTGTATCACCTCTTCTTTCGACAACTCTGTTAACATTTGGGCAGGGAGGCCAGTTTCTAGAGTTTTGAAAGCGAAATGTTGCTCCATTTTAGCCCCGGGATAGTTTTTAGCTGCAGTTCAGGGTCTCCTTTGTTCTACTTTTTGGGGTCATGATGTGCCAATTGTTTTTCAATGAATGATTAGTCAGGTCTTCAGACAAGCCAGTTTAGCACCTGGACTCTTCTTCTATAGATCCATGCTGTTGCAAAATGTGGTTTCTGTTATTCTCTCGTTGTATTGTGCGAGGTTTTCCCTCTATGTCAGCATATGTCGATCCAAATACTGCATATATTGCTGGTGCCTTCCCAGATGTGTAAGCTACCTCTGACATGGGCATTTATGTATACTCATGTTATCATAGGGTGACCATACGTCCTCTTTTACCCGGACATGTCCTCTTTTTGGGGGGCTGTCTGGCCTTGTCGGGAGTTTATTAAATCCTTTAAATGTCAGGGGTTTTGTATGGAAGTTTTGAGTTTGTGTCGCGTGGACTTACAGAGTTAAGAAGTGCGTAAAAAACACTTGACCCGACCCAAGTAACTCTCAAAATTAACTATGACTCTGCCACTGCGTAGTCATGTCCTCTTTTGGGGGATTTAGAATATGGTCACCTTATATTATCAGGGATGCTAGCTTTTAAACTGCGCTGATAAAGCCAAGTGGCCCATCTGCAAAATGCCAAGTTTGGACTTGTCAGGGCCCAGAGAGGTCACCAGGATCTCCGGATTATGGTTTATTCTTAGTCCCTAACAGTCATAGCCATTACTGTTTGTTTACCTCTGTACTGAAACCCTAACAAACAGAGAAGTAAACCAGATTCAGGCCTAATGAGGGAAGCTCTGGAGATTAAAACAGTGAAAATAATGTGTCTCAACCTTACCGGGATGTCAGACACTGGCACTGCACAATTGCCTCTTTCACAACTTCGCCTCGTGTAAAGCCAGATCGTAACTGATGTGATGAAGTGCTTTTGTTAAACCTTTGGTGTTTGACACGGTGAAAATTAACTCCTGACCCTTCAAATCTCACACTTTCGGGGTCTGTGGAGCTGTTTTAGTAGCGTGAAGCGCTGCTCCAAATACTCCACACTTACACTACTGAAAAGACAGATGAACGAACATAAAAATACTCCTCTTGAACAAAATGCTTATGCTATTTTAGCATCAGTCATCTCTGTGCTTTGAAAGTCTAGCTAGATAACAAAACGTTTGATTGCTTCCCTCTACTACTAACCCTAAAGTGACTATAGTCCCAGCATGTCAAGTAGCCAATAGAAAAATTGTCATGTGTTTAATTCAGTTGATCAATTTGACCTTGGAGAAAAGTGGAGAAAAACTGCCTTATTGATACTGAGTCATGTTACTAAGCTGTTACAAATTGATCTTATTTAGTAGGAGATGTTCCTCCAGGTTTTATCATTTCGGCATTACATAACTTCTTAGGATTTTGTTTTTGAGATACGTTTCTGGCATCAAATTTAACTTGAGCATTTATTTTTCATAGAACAACAACATTTTATATGCTGTCTTTGTAGTGATTTCAGATTTTTAGAAACATCCAAGTACGTTCTTATAACCACTTTATCGTGTCCAATGTTTTTGGAACTGAGGTTTTACAAAATATGCCGAGCAAAGCTGAAATAAAGACTGTTTTATAATCGGATATGTGCGACATACATTGTTCTGTTTTTAACAAGCCTCTCTTCAAAAGGGAATAATAGAAAACTTGTGGATTTATTTGCGTTTACTCTTTTCTTTGCATTCCTGTGGGGACAATTTTACACAGCCTATGGAAAACAGACCTAATGATTTTTTTTTTTTTTTCCAACAGTCGGACTCATTAAAAGAGAAAAAAAAAGGGGGCACAGGTCTTAACCCACATTTTAATGAGTTACAACAAAAGTAATGACATGCAGGGAGTCATCTCTCTGCTCTGCCTGCTGACATCGATGACCCACGGCCGGCCTAATACACTCAGTTGTGACATGCTGGGCAATAGCAAATGAAAATTTCTCTGGGGATTTGCTCCCACAGGCAGTTATTAAGAATAATGACATATTAACAATAGCTAGATGAGAGCGCTCAACTTTGTCATCATGAGTGAATGCTATTATGCCGCATTATAATGGGTGTCTGTGACAACAGAGAGACAATGAGTATCACAAGGCATCTTTCTGCGCCGGGAAACAAAGCCTATTTCAGACGCCTCGCCATCCGAGCCGCTCTTTGTGTCAGCGTACGACTGACAATTGTTTTCTCCTCAGCGAGTAAATGCCCCAACTTAATGTGGTTCTGCTGCTCAGGGAAACGACACTCCTAACGCTGCAAAAACATATTCTCATAACACACAAGATAAGACTGAGTCAAAAGAGTGTACGGACTTATAAAGCTTTATTTTGTCTCTACACATGCAGTTTAAAAGGCTCCATGCTTTCAACATTTCTTGGCCGCAAACAGATGAGTTTGGAGAACATCTTGACATGACTGAAGATGCTTGAAACAATTGGAAGCTGTGTTCGTTCACTCCGGGCGAGCTTCATCCCTCATCCCAATTACACAGAGCTCTCAATTTCAAGAGCATGTGATTACAGAATCAGAGGGTGCAGTTTCAGGAGTGCAGTTCTGGGACCGCATTTCCAGGACCCTTGTGTTGTTGTGAGAATTATAGTAAGGTCTGCAGATAAACACTAAAACTGCTTGAATTGGACACTTAAAATCTACACATTATACACTAAAAACATAATGTAGCACACTTAAATAGTTGCACGAGACACTGCAGTGATGATCCCTAAATTTGGCTATGGTGGACACAAAAATGGTAATTATTTCACACTTAAAGTGGTTGTAATACACATCAAAATGAATGGTATACATGGCTGTGTTATGCTCTGATAATACTTGGTTGTGCTGTCACAAACAAACAAGGGTCTTAGAATTTTAGTCCAATAATGTGGTCCTGAATCTGCAGTCTCCAGATTTGGAAACACGTCCTACTTTTAGATTTATGGCAATAAACACTTAAAGGAATGGCAGCCTGATATCCTTCCACCCCCACCCCCAATTACCCCGTCTGTGTTTGACTCACTTTGTAGCTTTGTTGCTTTAAAAAAAGGCCTCAGAGTATGATCAAAGAAATGCCATGCAGCACTTAAGGAAAAACTGGGACAAAACATGACATTTCAGAATAAACTATCATGTCTTATTGTCATTCATGCAGGTTTAAATGCGCTTCTGTCTAGACATGCATGAAACGTAAGGCTTTGGGTGCAGCTGAGGTTTCACTGCAATTCCAAGGGGAAAAAATGTATGTTTCTCACCATAACCTTAGCATTAAAGGTGAAAAACCACACTCAAAAGTAAAGCAGATATTCCTCCCTCTCTTTCCCCCCTTGACTGGCCCGAGCAAAAGCTGCTGAATGAAACAATGTCGCTGGTGTTTCAGAATCATCTGTATCTTATCACTGGAAAAAAAAAATCCCCCTAAACAGAAAAACGTGGAGAGCCAGACTTCTCCTTCAAAGAGCCTCCAGAGTGGCTGTTGTCTTTAAGGAGGGGAGGAGGGGATTGCTTTCAGCGGCCTCAGCCTGGGACTGGTTCTCATCATTTTGACAATAAAACTCAAGGAGTTGAAACAAAGAAAAAAAAAAAAAGAAAAAATGAGGGGGTTAAGAGAGTTCCGCTGGTCTGTACCGAATTGTCCCCCCACTCTTAAAATCCAAAAAGCTAAAAAAAAAAGGGGGAGGAGGAGAAGAGCGGTGACTTTAGGAGAGCTTTGGAAAAAGCTTTGGGGGCCTTAATTCCTTTCTGGCACCCTGGGGGCTAAAGGACGGGGGAACCAAAGGGCTTGAAATGGTTCAAAGATGAATGACTTATTGTGCTTTCAATTCCCAGAGGTTTGTTTTGTAGTGTCAGGGGGTTTATTGCAGCATTTTGTTGCCTTTTTTTACAACCTCTATATGGAGACCCGACAAAGAACAATGAATGAAAATGTGCCATGAAGAGAGTTTATTTCACACTATTGATAATGAAATAATACCTTGTTGACTTTAGGCACTTGCTGTAGCTTTTTTTGTGGACTACATTGAAGAAGTATCAATCAATGAACCCTCTTTGGAAAACTCACGTAGATGTTTCTGTATTAAAAGAGCGTTTTAGTCACATAATGAAGAAGATGGATGGGCAGTGCATGCTTGAATCGACGAGGCAGAAAGAATATTAATTCTATCGTAGGAGTATATTTACAGATAAACCTGTACAATTTTTACATTTTGTGATTAAAATGAATTATAAAAGAGTCTTTTTTTAAAAAAAACACCAGGTGTGATTGTACCCTCACATGTCAGCATTGGTGGAGACTTGTGATAATCTTGGGCCGGAGTCGATCTCGAAACGGTAATGGTATCCTTCCCAAACCTCTCTGCAGGCATCACGCATGTCATATATTCGTTTCTTGATGCCTTTACGGTTAAGATAAAGTACAAAGAGGAAGATGAGGCCCACAAAGCCGAGTACAATACCCAAGAAGACATAAGAGGTCTGCAGAGCAAGGTCAGCGCCTGCATTCCTTTGGTGGCATCCTAGAGTCAGCGTACCCACAGAGAGCAGGGATGTATTCCTCATGCTCACTGGGAAGGCGCACACAAGCTCCTCAACATCTCTGATGCGCTCCTGTGATTTGTTCAGCCACAGAGCAAAAGGTTCGATTCCACATTTGCACATGAACGGGTTCTCTCCCAGCAGGACAATTGCTGCTGGCATGGAGTCCAGCTCTCGTAGCCCCTCCTCGGGAACCGTCTTGAGGGCATTTAAGGACAGATCCAGCTCCTCAAGATGCTCCAAACCTGAAAAAGTAGAGTTGTGGATGGCCACTAGTGAGTTGTTGGAGAGCTGGAGGCGCTGCAGGCTGCTCAGGTGGGAGAAAACCCGCGGTGGTAAGAGGATGAGGCTGTTGTGGGACAAATCCAGACCCTTCAGGTTCCCAAGGGAGCTCCAACGAAGGGAGGTGGCCAAGTCCATCACTGAGGAATGGTTATAGAGAGCTCGGCTTAGGTTGAGCTCCCGTAGAGACTGACTCCGCACAGTGAAGGCTTCTGGGTGGATGACTGCCAGCTGGTTGTTGCTCAAATCCAGGGAGCGGAGGTTGCGGAGTCCAGCAAAGGTGTGCGATTCCACCTCGGAAATTCTGGAACAGAGGACATCCATGAGATGTAATTCATACTTTCAAAATACATGCAAGTGCAAAAAATACAAAAAGAAAACAGGGGATTTTGAAAAACATGAGTATGAGTTTTCTTGGGATTAAAATTTCTTAAAATTTTTAACCTGATAACACAAAGTTGACCAAGATAAGTCATGCATAATTCAATCCTGGTCCAGTTTAAAGTGGGTAAGCTCATGACTAAGAATCTGATTTTTTACTTTTATCCAAAATGAATAAAAAGCAGAAGAAATCTGGAACCGGATTCAGCAGGAGGGTCTTACCTGTTATTGCTCAGGGAGAGGTTGGTCACATTATCCAGCCCCCTAAAAGACTCAGGACCAATTCGACTTATCTGATTCCCAGTGATAAACAGATTCTTGGTGTATCCAGGAATCCCTGCCGGGATAGTCCGCAGGTCTCTGGAGACGCACTTCACGGTGTGGGCTGCCTCTGAGCACTCGCAGCGTGGAGGGCAGGACGCGTACACGGAGCCGAGCAGCGCAGCGCACAAAACAACGTGCTTCGTCAAATCCAGCATGTTGGGAAGAGGGGAAAGAAGTGTGCGAGGGTCCGAGAGAAGAAACCAGAGGAGTCTGTTACACGATCAGCTCATCCGACACATCCTTATCGCGTGTTGTCCCGGCTGGGAATGCGCTTCAACTTTGCATCTCTGCAGAAAGTGTGGCTGGGAGGCAGGGTCCAATTTCCATGAGAATAAAACCGGGGGTTACGCTGATCAGAGGGGGTGTTTGATCCCTTCGCCGAGGAGAAGCGGGGCGTCGCTCCTGCTGCAACAATGAAGTTAAGAAAGGACCATCGACTAGGACGATGATCTGCAGGGAGGGGCTTCTTCTCCTGCCTGTACCCTGACCGGATCCACAAGATCTTCCCTCGCAGCCTCGAGGAGACTCTGCTGGCACGGGTGATGAATGAGAGGAGAAAGTGTTGAAGCTCTCTCTCTCTCTCTCTCTCTCTCCCTCTCTCTCTCCTCATTACATCTACCGTTAAGGTTCACAGCACAGGATATACTCACATGGCGTCAGTGCACAGTTTCGCACCTGAGCCCAAACTCGAGGTGTAGAAATGTGGATTTCTATGGGTGCATGTAGATCGAACAGCAGTGTGTTTCCATCGCGAATGTCTGCTGTGTGTCACAGTAGGGGAGACGCAAGAAGATGAATATAATATTCGTTAGTACTCGCTTACGGCGTATAATTACGGTGGCCGAGAACTGCCACTGCTGAAAAACAAACAAACAAAAAATCAACAACAACAGTAAAAAATCAATCGCACTGCAAATAAAAAAAGAAACGGTGAAGATAAAAGACAAAAACACAATGGAAGTTAACGACAACAAAAAAATGGCGATGCAAAAAAAAGGGGGACTAACTGCAAAAAAAAAAAAAAAAAACACAACTGAAATGTCGCTTCCTGTTCTTTTCAACATGGTCAGGACATGTTGCGCCTGAGTCGATATTAAGTTGAATTTAAGCTAACACGACAATGTTCAACTTCATTTCGACTCAGGCGCTACATGGCCTAACGACACTGAAAAGCGCAAGAAACAAAATTAAACAACAACCTTTCTACTAGCGTCTTTGCTCGTCTTCTTGCCGTCGCCTTCTGTGCCTAGATTGTAAAACACCGGTGCATCATCATTATTGGTCCCCGTCAGCTCACTTCTGTTGTGCCTTTTTTGATTGCATCCTTTTATTTTTGCAGTTAGTAACTTTTTTTTTCTATCGTCGCTTTTTTTTTTTTGCGCCGTTAACTTCCGTTGTGGCTTTTTTTTAATCTGTACCATTTCTTTTTTTATTTGCAGCGGGCTTTGGTTTCTTTTTTTGCATCAGTGACTTTGTTGCGACCTCTTTTTTTTTTGCATTCTTTTTAAAAAAAATTTATTTGCAGCAGTGGCAGTTTTCAGCCACCGTAACTTTATAATGAAACATCATTGAGGAATCCCACACAAAAATGTATTTTTAACTGATAGATATGGTGAATATTGTGATGATAACTCACAACCAAAAACCAACAACTTTGTCTGAACAAACATTTTATTTGATAGAATCAGCAGAAAAACAGAACAGGGCGGTTTTCCATTGCGGTCGTATTTCTCTCTGCACATGACTGTTTGACTGGGAATGTAATAAGCATGGGAAGTAGAGCTTCACTGTTCTCAGCTGATCCACTTTGTGCATGTAAAGGAGAGGGTTGAGCGTCAAGAGGAGAAGGAGAGTGGTAGTTTTTGTGTGGATGAAAATATTGATGTTTTTGATGGTAATAACTAAACAAATTGTTAAAACTGCTTTTAAATTGCATGAACTTCTTATTTTTGGAAAACAGAGGACACTTCACTAACAGGAGGGGTGAGAGAGGGAGCATTTCAATCCAGAATTTAACCTCTAGGTATCAATCAACATTCCCATTTTTACAAACTATACCTTTAAAATTTTATGGCAATTTGATGTTTCTTTTATTGATTGACAACCAAACCAACCTGAGCTTTAAACAATGGATAGATGTGTAAGTGATCAACTCAAAATTGGCATAAATTATATAAATTTCACCATTCTCTGTTTAATCCCAATAAAAATGGCAATGAAATACCAAATGGCACACTTCTTTTATGAGTTACACAAACATGAAAAATCTTTGACTCTTTAATATCAGAAGTTTCTTTTTGCTTCAGTGTTACAAATAACTGTCGGTCTGCCAACTAAATAAAAAACACCCCCTTGAGTTGCTTTAATCACCGTGGCAACCAATCCTAGTCTACCTTGAAATAAATTGAATTCTCTTATTTCAACATTGTTGGGGGACAAAGTTTCTAAGAGTAATTTCACTCTTCTTTTGTCAACGATTTTGGCATAACTTCTCTACTTTGTGCGTGTGGTGTCCCCCCATCATTCCCACTTACCTAGGTGGTATGCTAAAAGTGGGGGAGGGGTGTTTGGGGGGCCAGACTGCAAAAGCCTTTGATCTCTCATCCCCTGAATACCAGATACTGAGAAGGATAATGGCCTCTGAGTGGGACTTTAGCCACCTGATGAATAAGTATCAAAGTTGTGACCACTTCCTTTCCTTAATGTTGATTCAGACAGCTCACAATGATTATAACAGGACTCACTTATAACAAATTTAACTTTTCTACTGAAGAGAATAGGATTTAAGGTCCTTCTTTTGGCCTGTAGAGCACTTAAATTAAGGCTCTCACTGGAGTCTGGTTGTGTTTCTGCCTGTTAGAGGGATATGTTTTTCCTGCCAGTGTTAAATGCTGCCACGTGTATGGCTCATAGTAGATTAGAAACAACTCTTTTGGTGTTTTGTTCTTTATAAACAATAAAACAAAGATGGTTTAAACCTGCTCTTTTTGTTTGAGATAGTTATCTTAAAATCTCTATGTTTAAATCTTGGATCTATTTTGCACATTGTGCCAACGTCTAGATTTGGTCCTTGTCAGACCACACGCACACGTCTAGATGAGGTACTAATGTGGACGTCATTTCAATGTCTAAAAGAGGTCCAATAATGAAGTCTAAATCTTGGATCCATTTTGCACATCGTGCTGACGTCTAGATTTGGTCTTCAGATGACGCCTAAAAAGGTTCGATTTGAACGTTGAAATTTCTAACCTATTTTGCACGTCGCACTGACGTCTAGATGTGGTCTTTGAAGGACCCACCCAATACTGACTTGATCTGGACGTCTCTTTGACGTCCGATGTTTGGAAAAATGAGTTCATGACTGTTGCTATAAAAATAAGGTGTGATTGATTCAAGGCAGAGAAAGCCTTTTACATTCCTAACATCATCTCCCCCAGCTGACAGTCTCAATTGCACACATTTCAGAATGCAATATGAGCAATCAAAGTTCAAATAAATGTACTCACCAACTCCTACAATAATAGATCTTTATTGATGTTATCGCAGTAGGTTATAAACACATTCAGAGTTCACACAGTCACTTGCAGGAGTCTTTAAAATTCCCATAAGCAACATGAGCTGCAGCATAAAAGATGAGAAACCAAAGCTGATTTGAAATCACAAACTGCAATAAGTATATATGCATGGTGGCACTAATAATAGCATCCCAACTGTCTTTTGTCAACTGACCACAGGTCTCCGCATTCCTGGACCTGGCTCTTGGATACAACCGGGCACCACAGCAGGAAACATCTAAAACCATTCAAATGATCTCCATTTCATATTGCATTCCTGCACATGCGCTCTGATGAATCATGTCCATTTCACTTTCTAAAACATAAATATGGAGACATCACACGTCAAAAGCAGTCATAAAGTAGAAACAAAACAAACGTAAAGGGCCATTCATTAATAAGTTAAAAAGGTTTGTCTCCCATTCTCTTATTTGGTGCATTTACCAAGAGTTATTGGAGCTTCCACTACCCTGTTTTTTCTTAAGTTACTATATTTTCTACAGCCACATTCAGTACCGAGAAAGATGGAAAAACTTCAGTGAAGATGCATCTCCACCAAAGCACTCTGAACTATTGGTTCAGCTTTTCTTCAACTGCAGCGTGGGAATGAGTGAAGATAAAGTTTTAAGTACTGCTGATGTTTCCAAAGTGTAATAGCAGCTTGAAGTGCACAATGAGGAGTTTCTCACTGATTTTGATTTCTCCCTTTATGACCCACTTAGTCAAATGAAAATAGATTGGATCCCCGTGAAAAGAAACAGGGTCAATATTTGGCACTCGTACTGAAGTGTCTGTGTTTTGAATCCATCTGGTAAAGTTTGGCAGTAAGGATAAAGTCAGTGAGAAGGCCATTTATTTAAATTAGATAATTTCTTTCTACTTATCATGTTGTACTTGTGGCTGATAGCGGAGCAAGATGAACAAAAAGACATGCTTTCTTTGGAAGTGTTGTTTCAGATGTTGATATTCTTTGCCAGGTATAAGAGCAAAATGGTCAGGAACAAAATTAAATGATTATACTGGTTTGAGAATGTGTAATTGCTCTTAGAAGACTGATGATGAACCCTTATTCAGGCATAATGTTACACCAATACATCTGGTAACCTTTTGTAAGGTAATTCAAGGTAATAAATCATTTATTTTAATCATCAATTATTGAGTTTTGTTATCTACTTTACAGTTCATTTCATGTATCCACAAATCAGCACATTACCATAGCACTGCATCCCGTAGAAGTTGTCTCACAGTAACAGTAAGAAGGTCTTTATCGCATTTATTTCCTCTCAACCCACATTTTTGACGACTGATGATTAGAGGTAAGAGAAAAATTCAATTCACATAAGTATCGTGATTTTTGTTTTACAATTTTTAAATCAAATTTTATGTTCAGAAATCGTTTTTTTTTTATAAGTTTTTTTTTTTTTTTAATTTAAGAATAAATCTAATAAATCTTAAAACTGACTTACACGTGATGTGTATCTTTTGGGGAAATTGGGTTCCTGGAATAGTCAGTAGACAATTATAATCATTCAACTGTTTCACTGGTGTTAAAAATGCAGGCTAAAGATCGAGAAAATCGACAATGTCGTAAAATCACAATCAAATCAGCATCCAAAAAATCGTAGAAGACTCGAATCGGGAGAAAAGAATATCGTCCCAGTCCTACTGGTAATGGTGCTCATGGGAAATAGAAAAACACACTGCCACTTTTTTCTTTCTTTGGATTGACTCTGTTCTTTTATCTTAGTTAACAATATCCCGATACTTAGAAATGAGACCTTAATTTTGCAACCTACACATGCTAGCCATCTTCAGACACTGTTGTGGTCAGATCAACCTCCGTGTCTTCCTCAGAGGGCTATAAATACTGGAATATGGCAGCATAAGCATGAGCATTGTGTTCACGGAATCACATGGTGGTATATTTTTTAAGTAAAGTTTAAGTTTTATAAGTTTCATGGCATCTCTCCAACCCATAAAGACGTGTAGGAAGAAAAACATCCTCAGAGAAGGATCTCTGTGGGAAGGATTTACAAAGACCCTGTTTCCATACTGTAGATGGTAAGATCCCAGAATTCTTAACAAGTTGATGATGAGGAGCTTTTTTTCCCCTGAAACTACTGAACTTATGCTCATCCAGCTGTTTACAGTGTTAAATCTCTGCTTATTATATTGATAAGTTTATACACTCTTCTAACACAGTAAGTCCATGTGACACAAAATCAGAAGCTCTGTACAAAACTTTTTTTCAACATTTCATTCATTTTCTCAAACATTTTTAAACGATCTGTGAACCACCAAATTTAGTTTCATCAACATTTTACACAGCATCTCATCTGTTTTGATATCTAGGTTGTATAAAAAGGTGATTTCCTCTTTAAAAAACAGCCACAGAGGAATGTTTTTAAAATTTCCCAAACTATATTTTTATGTGAACCGTATAGTTTAAACTAAAAGTTATATGCTTCTCTTTTTTTGGTCTGAATGCTCTGAGAAAATGACTGCAGCTCTACTCTACACACGACACAGCAGACTATTGCATTAAATCAACCTAAACAGGCCTATTGTGGTCTAATTTATTATTTATTCTCTCAAGGTTTACCAGAAATCACATACATCTTGAGATTAAGAGAAAGTGATACAATAATAAATATAGAAATTAGTCAGTAGGCAGTTGGCTGCAGTGAAATACAGCTGATTATTAATAAAGAAGAAGCCACAGTATGAATCAAACGTCTCTCTTTAACGCTCTCATTCTTGCATGCATGCAGTATTTAATAGCTGGCATGCGATCACATGCTCGTTCTCTCTCTTTACTGTCTGTGTGCATGACTAGCACACAGACAGAAACACTCACAATCACACACACTTATTCAGGCACAAGTCTGCTTCACTGCAGAGCAGAAATCTCATAAAGAACACAAAGAACAAAAACGAGACAGTAAATAATTCAAAGGAAAAATCTGTCGAGTGTGCATCAAGTCTGCAAAGTATGTAAAGAGCACCTGGTGTACATTGTAATGTGTGTTCAAATATTTACAGGCAACATGGGTGAGATACGCACAAGAGGCCACAGTGTGTCTGCTTTAAACACAAGTTCAAAGAGGAGAGAGAGTCTAGAAAACTGGCACTGTTATAACCCTCCAAACAACAAGTAAACAGATTCATATTTATTCATGAGCTCATACTCCAACGACCTTGACTTTGGATTATTGGTCAGCGTATAATCAAACCTTGTGATACATTTCTCATTGACCTCTGAATCTGCTCTGCAGAGGTGGAAAACCTGCAGGAATGATGCTGCAAGGGCTCTGGGTAAAGCTGGGGATATTTAGAGGGGTTGGTGAGAGTGAAAAACCTGAGGATCCTGGCTACCTGCTGCTTCTGGCAGCGACACGGACAAAGAAGGGCTCAACATTTTTTTTTCTATTTGACTGCAAACAATGAAGGGATTTGAATTAACTCACGATAGCCATGGCAACTGATTTCGAGCGCCAACCATCGTGAAGGGTTAAGGTTTCAAAACTAACACAAGACATGAAATATAATGAATAGGAGATCTATGTGAGAGGTCATTTTAGGCACTAACTCTTGCTTCTCTCTTTGAACTCAAAATTAGTTTTCAGAACTTTTCTCAGGTAAGGATTCAGAACTATGACAGGCTTATACCACCTGTTGCAAAAAAACAAAGACATTGAAGGACACAGTTTGAGTTGGTCTCAATTCTCCTACATTTGGCACTAATACAGCAACCAAAGAAGTATAATGTTAGTGTTCCTCTACCTTGTACCTTCATAAAACCAACAGATTGGGTCATAAAAACTTAAATCTTAACTAATAATGCAGTTTAATGTTAGAAACTGTAGTTTTCTTATTTGGTCAGCTGCTTGAGCCTGATTTATACTTTTGCCTCAAAACTATGCCGTAGTTTATGCTTTTAGGTTCATGTAGCCCAACCTGGACACCAGAGTGTGACGTGCATCTCCTCAGAAATGTAGCCATGCATTGCAGTAACCCAAAGCACAGTCCATTAGGTAGCATCATAATTTCCTGCATTTTGACAAGATTTTTGGTATCGCTGCGTATACTGATTGAGCAGATGTCAAATCGATCTCCTCTAAAGTCTCCTTTCTTTTATTTATTTTTTTGTAAATATTGCTGCACGATCAACTGCTGCCCAACATTTATCATCTCCAACACCAGCGTGACGCACATGGCTTTAGTTGCCGTGGTTTCCTGTGCATGAGGAGAGATTTAGCGGACATGGGAACTGGGGAAATGACATGCATAATGTTATTTATATATTGCTCTGCTGACTAGTTTTTATTCTTAGTATTGCAGAGCCGCATGGCCACTTAAATGCCTAATTCACCCATATACAATTATGCCACAACAGTGTAGACACAGTGTGGAGTCATTACAGAAGTATAAACCAGGCTTTAGGCTCATTCTTCATCCAAGAGAAGTTTGATTGAAGTGACAAAATATTCAGAGTTCGATACAGCCCTGCTGTTCTTATAGGCATCTCCTACAAAGCCACATTCACTGAGGTTGCTACAATCAATGAACTGATGTTCTTCTGTTGAAGGCATAAAAACAGATTTGTAAACCTATTGTGGAGTGCCATGAGGTGACATGTGTTATGTATGTAAAATACAAATCTGAGAAAATATTTGTTTTTTCTTTTAAGAAGATGCAAATCTTTTGAAATCCTACTGAGTATGACTGAGTACATGTAAGAAAATGCTCAAAAATACAAATTGCTCTGGCATATTCAGGTTACAGTACTGTAGTAGAGCTACATTACAGATCAAGCATGAAATGCATTAATTATTTTCCTAGAAAGGCATCAAATTAATAAGATATGTTTGTGCTCCATGGTATAAAATGGCATTCTGGAAGCACGGTGATGTGGGATTACTCCCCCCAATCTGTTACAAAGGTCATCAAAATATGAAAGCAAGGCATGGATGTGTTCCCCCTTCGATTATTCAACAATGAACAGTTTGTTCCTGTTTTCAACTATTAATACAGCTACACAACTTGTACTCTTTTCAAGTGGTGTTGGCTTTAACCTGCTGTTAGGCTTTTCAAAAAATCTAAATCCACTGAAAGTGTTTGTTTGGTTCTGATTCTTGTGGAGGTGGTGGTGTGTTTAGTTAATTCTCCTGAATTAAACAGTCAGGTGTAAATCAATTTCTGCCACCAGGGTAACAGGCTGTCTGCGCCCAACAAACCAAACACACATCTGTACACATGTGTTGGACATTCCTATTTAACGATCTCCTGGAGGCGAAAAGTCTTTATCTCCTTGATCACTTTCACTTATCACTCTCTCTCATTGGTCAACCCCTCATCCAACCTGAAAGGGGTTCCACGGCGTCCTACACCTGCTTCCCAGGTCATCGCAGGTTGAGGGCCAGGGCCACCGTGAGGATTATGCCCATTAACATCAGGAAAGGCAGCCAGGTCTTCAGAAAGCCTGCACAGCTGAAGGGAAACAAGAAAACAGAATATTAATATAATATAATATATATTAACAGTCTATAGTTTATTACAGGGGCAAATAAAATATCATGCTCAGGTTGAAAAAAAATCAGCGTTCAAAGATATCTGTATACTTATTCCACTCAGCCTTAAGCTGGGGTCACTGGGACACACTTTATGATCAACAACAAACCTCATGAACATGTGGATCATCTGCTATCATGCTAAAATCATGACTGAAACCATTCAAAACAAGTTATGTTGTCATGGTGACTCTATGAAATGAACTGAAAATGAATATTGTCGACTAGGGGTGTACCGATACGATATTAATATTGGATATTGGTCCTATATCAGCAAAAAAAAAAAAATGTTGGATTATAGCAGCCTGCATCTAAAATCTCAGATATCAGCACTCTGATACCAGCAGTCCATTCCAGACTCCGTTCCGGCACCTCTAGCTAGCAGCGCCCTGATCCAGCAAGCTGAGCCCACAAAATCACAACAACAGTGTGTACTAAAGCACTAACAAAGTAGCAAGGAGTACGAGTGATGTTGGCCTTGTGGCAGTATTTTTTGTTTAAGTCCAAAAAAGACATTGCAGCTGAGTGAAAAACTTGTCATGCACAATTTTGTGCCAATATCGGATCAATATCGGTATTGGTCAATATTGAAGGCTACAATATTGGTATCTTATCGGAAGTCAAAAAGTTGTATCGGGACACCCCTATTGTAAACAGAGCAGACACAAAGTAGTGTCAGGGTGATAGAGGCCACCAGGTAAAAGGTGTTGGCATAGAGTGTGTGTACATCTGTTTGTGTGTGTGTGTGTGTGTGTGTGTGTGTGTGTGTGTGTGTGTGTGTGTGTGTGTGTGTGTGTGTGTGTGTGTGTGTGTGTGTTTGAGGAGAGTACAACTATGGGGGAGCAAGCTCAGCAGATTTATGTCTGCTGTGAACAAAAACTTATTTAAAGATAGAGAGCAGGATATACTTGTATAACCAAAGGTAAGTCAGTCAGTATTTCTCCAAAGACCTCATTTAGCTTTACCAGCGCCCCTAACTTTGCTTTTTTATGATTGTGATTCAGTCTTTTGAAGCCTTAAGTACTCTGTCTGTACCTTAGACTAGTCAGGAATCTGGTCTTGATTTTTTATTATTTTAGCAATTCATTTATTTATATCTGATATAATGATATCTGTAGGTTGCAGGTCTGCAGTCTGTTCCTGTCCAAGAAAACACACCTCTCTCGCAAACCAACTGCCTGACTAAGGTTGAGGGCTGAGAAACTCCACTTTGTATTGTTACAGTTAGTATGTCTGGGAGGGAGGCAAATGCAGCAATTTTAGATACTTTATAAACTCTGCACTTTCCAAATCTAAAGATCTACTGGATGGAAGAATCATCTCTGTAAAAGGCATGTCAGTAAAATTGTGTCTATGTCCTCTAGATCCCACTGAGATACCCCCCACAAAAGTTGCAGCTCTACTTCTTATGAAGGCTTTGAGGAAAGCTGCAGCAGATTACAGACGGGGCAATAGTCGAGCCTGATGGATTTGGCTGTCAAAAAAGACATGAGCAGGTTTATATGGTGATGCACTGGTCCTGATTGTTTTGGGGTTTCAACCGGTGAACCATCTGTTCAGTTGGGATAAGATTAAGTGACTGACACAACCAGTCAAGGAAGCTTTACAGTTTATTTAACACAACCCTTAACAGCATTTCTGACGTTTTTTACTTCTATCAGACACTTGATGGCCATCTTACCTGACATGTTTCCCGTGGATTAGAGCAAGAAGGCAAAGTTTGACCATGTTCCACGAGGTGCTGTTTTCGTATCGCATCAGATTCAGCGCCATGGCGACGTGAGAGTGACAGTTGTCGCAGCAGAGGTTGTGCTACAAAGAAAACAAGTACACACATCATGAGTGGTGTTTTCAACTTTAACAAAGGAATTGAAAAAACTGTTTACAAGTGTGATTATTACCATCCTGTGCTTATACTCCTCTGAGGCGTCATGTACGGCTGTGTCCCAGGCATTAGAGCCGCTAGCATAGACTTTGCCGACATCGAGCATCCAGTACCTACAGGCAGAGAGGAAAACAAACTGGACTGTTATGGACGATAAAGGGAGAGAAACACATCTCTGTTACAGTAGGTTTCAAAAAATATTAACAATGCTGCCACAAGACCTAAAAAATATTCAATGTGCTTACTTTGTCGGTCTCCCAAAAGCCATGTTGTCTTCCTGCAAAAACAGATAAATGTTCATGTGTATTCATTACAGCAAAACAGATAAAACGATCATTTTTCACAGCATGAAAGCACAACAACCCCCTACCATTAGATCTCATCATTAGTTTAAAACAGAACCAGCACTTTGAAAAAATTGTAAAAAAAAAACTTTCACGACATGATAGAAAGTCACGTCTTCACTGACATATTTTTGGTCTTTTTTTTTTTTTTTGGTAATCAGAAACTGGAAAGTTTGGATGGTGAGCATCAGGAATTTAGGAAATGTGCTCTACATCCTGTTTGTCTTTGTTCGCCATCAGTTTGTTTATGTGTAACCAAATGGGTCGAAATCAAAACAGCTGAGCGGCACCACATGTGACAGCACTGTTTGTGTCATGTCGTTTGGATTTCGGACAGTGAGGCTTGCAGAATGAGTTCCTTTTCACCTTTTAAAAATGCACTTATCTTAATGGGTAACTGTTGTTTTGTCAGACGAGCAAAAATGTCATGATATCCCACAGTTTTAATCAGGAATTATACCTTAAATAACATATTTTAAAGGACACCTATTGTGCTCATTTTCTCTTGCATTATAAGATATTCCTCTATTAGTCCTATAGGGGGAATTCCAAATTACAGTTAAAGAGATAAATTAAAGGATGAAGAAACTTAAAGTTAAAAAAAAAAAAGATATATACATGAGTGTTATTAACAGCTGTTATGAACATGTCGGTCTGAGACACCTATAGAGTAGTTCTGCTAAAAAGATCCACATTTTCATCTCAAGTCATGAAACAAACCAAACTTTAAGCCCACATCAGATCTCCTATATATCTTGAGGTAAGCTATTGTGAAATTACCTGCTGTTTCATTATCACTTCATGGATCTGACAGCCCAAGGCTTTAGTATCAAAAACATACGAAGTTTCCACTATTTTCTAAATTCTTTGACTCCAGAAGGAGCAAATAGCTCCTTCACAACCTAAAGAACACTGATGAGAAACTAACCAGGACATAATGACTAAGAGGAAGAAAAGTGGAGCACTGAAACTCTGCATATGTTCACATGGACATCAAACATAGTAAAAACTACATGTATGTAGTACAACCCCAATCAGTAAAATAGTTCTCCTTTCTGAAATTGTTTCATTGCTTGGCTCTAAAAGAGAACCTCAGGTTAGCACCACTGCACTGAACTGGACAGCAAGGAAAAGGTGCAACTTCTCTGTTGCTGGGCAACCATTTAATCCTCTGTTCAAAAATCTCCAGAACTGAACTACTTTACCTGCCTCAAGATCTGTTATCTGTTCAAAACGGGGTAATTACTATAGATTTAATCACATAGCTCCAAGTGTTCAACAAAGAGCAACTTCAACAGCTACAATAACAAAACAACACGAGAAGGTTACACTTCACGGGTCCAACATACCTCAGGATTCTCTCAAAGGGGAACTGTGAAAGCATCCACATGTATGGGCTGGTGTACACAACAGCTGACTAATCACAAACATGAACACGTCTGCCAATAAAAACTCATTATATTTTACAAACTCAGAGCAAACTATTTGAGGAATATATGAAGAACCTAAACACATAATTCAGACTGAAAGTAAGACAGCTGCATTTGCAAAAAGAAGGAAAAACTGTCAGAAATGAACAAGATGCAAAAAGTGAGTGACTTGCAGCACCATTCTCCCATTATTAGTGCCTGTTAGATCTGACTAGAATTCCCAGAAACAGATGTGCACTGCTCTGCTTTAATCTTGCAGCTTTTACGGAGGTTTTAGACATCATATTTCAGTTGCAGTCCTGGCAGTATCAAAGGGAGATGATAAGAATTATTATGACAGTATCATTCAAAGAGAAGTGATATGATCCAATATATCTCACATCTGAAGATATACATAGATGCTGCTGAAGTCTGATGCCAGAAAAGCAACCTGCTAGTAATATTTTCCATACATAAAATCACACAGTCAACAAACGGCTCTATCCTGGACATAACATGCTCCAGATCAGGGAAAAAGTTCAGCACAAGTCATCATAAGATCTAAAAATGTAAGAAGTAAATCACCTTCAAGGTTGTGAAAATCTGCAGTAAACCCTAAAGTGACTCAAAATCCTCCTTTTTTCTTCATTATCGTTGTTTCAGGGATTTGTTAAGTTTTAAGGTTCCCCTCGCTGTTTATTTAGTTCAGCTATTTTTAACTCCAGAAATTTGGAGAGCCTGTGCAAAAGTGTCAAGGCCGTACCAACTCTGGAAACAGACAGGGGTAGATGCACAATGATTTTTCTCCCAGTAGAGTCCAGTCCTGTATACTGCCTTCCTCGGTTTCATGATGGCAAACTGATGAGTACAATAAACTTAAAATGATCACAAGCTTGACCTTCATTATTAACCACAGAGCCTGTGCTTTATTCTTCATTTCACCTTATAGCTCCAGTGTCATCTTGAATTGGGCCAATGCAAACATTTCAGCCACATGGTCATTACTCACTGAGACAAAGTAGGGTCCAGCAAAGTCCCGGATGACACCAGTGGAGGTACAGATTCCCATATGGCCAATGAATGGAAACAGCCATCTGGGCAAAAATAAATAGAAAATGCAGAGTTTGCATGACAGTGTAAGTTAAGCACATGAACAAATATATGTGGACATAACATCTTTTTGGATAGGGTCCACACATGACAGAGGCTTGTGGAAGAAGCTGAGCCCCACATAGCAGAACAGCTGCACACACGACAATTAATGTTTCTGTCACCTAGTAAGCAAACTCAGATGGTCAACTTCCAGCTTTATAGTTTCAACTATAAATTGTAACATCAGCGATATCTATGAATGTACACTGAGTTGTATATATAGGCTATGAACAAAATTACTGTTACAGCTTTCAAAGTCCTGGCTGCACACAGACCTACACTGGCATCTTTGCTGGTGAGGCGGGCTGTCTTAATGTTGGCGAGGTTTCAATTCTTTAATCAATCATGCCCTCTCGTTGAACCCCAAAGCTTGCTCTCCTTTGCCAGGCACCTGAGTGAGCTCTGAGCAGCAAATCAGCTACTTGATGTATAATGCATTTCTGAGCTAATTTTCTCACTAAATTTGCATGAAGTAGAAAGGCATCCTCATATCAATGAACATTGATTAAAAGTATTATACACGTTGCATAATTTTACAGCATCAAACAGAATTTAATTAACTTGTTGTAAAACATTACTCTAATTTGGAAGCTCAAACAACATATTGAAGAGCTTCAAGCTTCAAGCTCCCACCAGCAGAATCACTCATACACAGACACACATTTACACTTTTGTCTGATGCAGATTTAGAAATAGGCCAGAGATGAAGTAACAAATTACATTTATTCAAGTCATGTTAACTAGTAACTGCTAGTTCTTTTTTTGTCAAGTTTTTCTTTTTTTAATCAGCATGTTCATTTTCCCTTTAATTGTTTCAAGAGAGTGCTATACTTCATTACATTTACATAGCAACAGTATGCAAGTAAAATATGCTAAAAACAAACAAGCTTTCAATCAACTGCTAAGAGCTGGCTGACTTGATTATGTCTCCACTGAAAAAAAAACAACCTAATCATACTGAGTGACTTTGTCTCAATTCTGGTAAAAGTATCTTGTTACACTTAATTCAAGCTTCATTGACCTGAAAGGTCCAAACATGAATCTTGTCTCAAGATATTTCAAGCCCAATGTTTTTCACTAAGTTTCTTCATATAGTTATTAAATCTTCTTTCAAGAAATTTAAACCGAGAGTTTCGTTTGCTGCATTGGCGGCCATTCTTACTCATTTCAATCAATGAAATCTTTCGTTTTGGCCAGTAATGACAAGCATCTTGGCACAGGAAGCTATGACTTCAGAGGGATCTACAAAGCGTACAACGGACAAACAGAGCTGAAAAAAACATTCACGAACTTCACCCTGGATAGATGCAGAGTCAAAATTACTTAGTTTACTTAGTTTGTTATCGTACAATAAGTAATATAATATTCTATATGATTAATGTGATTATGTATTTAAACTGTATGCGCTGCAATTCTTGGCCAGGTCTCTCTTGCAAAAGAGATCAGTACTCTAAGCACATCTCAAAAAAAATGCTTGTCACTCTTAACTCAGTAGATTAACAGACTGATAGTTTTACATCTACTTCTGCAGGCTGACATGAGAACTTTTGCTGAAGCAGAGTATGTTAGCACTTTCCCCACCACTGTTTCCAACATTTCCAGTAAAAGTTGGAGCTGTTGCAGCAGCAGAGTTTGGCCTTAAAGGGATATTCCAGCGTAAAATTAATGTAGGGTCAAACACACCATAACACCGAGTTAGACACCCCCTCGAGAGATGAATGTTGCCGACCGCTACAAACAAGCGGCTGCTGGAAGAGAGCAGGTGAGTTGTGTTTAGTCTCTTTGCCAAAGAAATTAAGCAAAGTTAAAAAGATGTTTGGTTGCTTGTGCTATGGCTAGGACCCTATATGTACTGTTGATGAAGTTAGGTGCTGTTCTGGGCTTTATTTGTGGCAATAGAGTGGCTTTTTGGTTGAGCAAGTAGCTCTCTGTATTGCAATCTACAGTCGCTACTAAAGTTGGTATAACTAGAGAAGCAAGCGGTCGGCAACATTCATCTCTCGAGGGGGTGTCTAACTCGGTGTTATGGTGTGTTTGACCCTACATTAATTTTACGGAATATCCCTTTAAGCATGAGTGGAAATGAGACACATTAAACATTGTATAGTATAAAGTAGCAACAGTCTAAACAGAATCAGTTTCTCAGTTTTCCTTGATGACATATTTTCAGATCCTATAAGCTTCAGTGTCATCATGAATGGAGACCATTGAATTTCTCAAGCTGAAGTTATTCAGGGTCTCGGCAGGTTATTAGTTATGCACAGAAACAAATCCATCTAAGAAATGACACTCGTTACATTCTGATTTGGTATCTGTGCCCCACAGTAAAATAGCCGGACCACTTTTAGACAACAGGTCCAAACAAGCAGCAACAGGATGTTATTGTTTGTGTTCTAGCTAACTGTAAGCTAAGCTAATGAAGCTGTCACTTCGTCTCGTGCCTCGAGCCCTGCAATCAGAACCCGCGCGTGCAGTCAACAGTCAATTATAACTCACGATAACACGGGGATAGGTGTCCACACAATACAGTACGGGTAGCGACTGGTCTCTGGGTTTATTTTCTCAGATGCTATGTGGTAATTCTTCATGGTGTCTTTATCGACAACATCCGCCATCACCAACAGCTGTGGAAAATGAACTTCATTTGTCCCAGTTCGAGCTGTGCCAAGTTAGCCGAGGACACGGATAACGGAACGGAAGTGAAGTGACCTTAACTTCAAAATAAAACTAAATTGAACTTTTTATTTAAATTTATTTTTTAAAATATTCTATTCCTTAGAAATATTCTTCTAAAAAGAAGCCCGCTTAGTTTTATGATTTATTAAAACTTTAAATTTTAGAATCAAAGGTTTTCTAATTAAGCCATGGCAGACATAAATCCAAATTGACTTGCTTTTTTTAAATCAGAAAAATGTTTTTGTTTTTTCAAGATCTCCTCTTGTTATTGGCATTGTCTCAGAATTAAGAAAAAAAAAACTAATTATTTTTCTACATCAGAGCAAATTAAGTCCCATTAACTCCAAACAAGTCTTGTGTTCTGGCAGCGGTAGGATAATATTTTAAACAAAACAATTACAATGAGCAGACCTCAACATACCATACTAGCTGGAAAGATAGGCTGCTTTTGAAATCTTAGGGAAAAGAGTTGTTCTCATCTGATTTTTAATTGAGAACTCAAAAAAAAAAAAAAAAGAATACATAAATTGATTTAATATCACATAAAACTAGAATTAATAAACTTGGTGGATGTACGTCTCCTTAGGGTTTCTGCAGCTTGCAAGGTACAACTTATGGTGACTTTTTTTGTTGTCATCTTTGCACACGGGAGAATTCTGCTCAAAAATTTAGATTTTTTTTACACAATATAACAAAAATATGTTGTAAGAGAGAAGAATTTTTTTAGAGGTCCACATTTAAAAACAATAGAATTTCAATTTGTTGTTTAGCCCTGGCTATGCATTTTACATTGAAAGGTACAATCGGAAGTTCCTTATTTTACTCCGGTTGACTTGATCTTTTTTTTTCTGTTTTGGCAGTAGCAGTAACTTCCGGGATCAATGCAATCCAGCTGGGGGAAATAGATCAGTCTAAAACTTTAGTCTAACAAGCCTGCAATTTTGTTTATCTGTCAACCCCCACGGACAAAAATGCTCCACTGACAGCAGTTGAACTGCTTTCAGTATGAAAATCTGAATCTAGATTGATCTTTTTTCAACCCAAACAACATTTCTTGTCCTCATACTGTTTTAGGGTCAAAAAAAGTGCAACCACTGTAGGCTATATCACGTGGTGCCAGCACATAGAGGGTTATGATGAATTTTGTAATCCCTTCCGTTTTCTGATACTATCATGGGTGGGAAAATAAAAATGTTATATAGCAGTGTGTATCTGAAGGGTACAGAACAGATTTCAAACCCTCATTAGAGTAGCGCTCATTTAAACAAACTGTGGCACAGGTAACATGAGGGGGGTCTGGGAGGCCTTTGCATGGACATTATGAGCATTTAATACTTCACTTCTGGAAATCCGGTGAAGATTTATGCTGCCATGTAAGATGGAAATTTAATTATTAAAATTAAAACACACTGTTACTGACAAAGCTGCTGCTAGTGTAGCAGAGACTATATTGTGTGTTAGTCCACTTGATCCAGTGTGAGATGTAGAGTATATATTGGTACTCAGGGCTCTGGGATGCCCGCTCTCAGTAGTATTTTACAGTTTCCAAACAGTGGGTACATCATATCCACAGTTGAGTCAGCATCTGCTTTCTGGGCTTCTGCTGGGATGTTGATTGGGATAGTAGCCAGCTATTACTTTTGTTTCTGTTAGGATGTCCTGTTGCCTTTCCATTTTTTGGATGTTGTCCTCTGCCATTTTCCTTTCTCCATCTCCCACAGTGTATCTGCTGATAGCACTTCCTGTTGACTGACTTCTGGGCTGATTATGGAAATGTATTCAGTAGTTTATGGTTAGCTATTGTTATATTTTGTCTGTTCCTTTGAGAAATTGCATTTTGGGAAGCTATAATTGCCAAACTTATGCCTTCAGCTGGCCTTACATTATGTATTCATAGCATTTTTTTGCGTATCACCATGCAAGCATATTGTTTTCATTAAGTTGTCACGTGATTTTTTTTTTTTTTTTTTTTTTTTAACACTGGAGAGACTTTCCATATTTATTGAGGCTTTTCTAATCAAATAATGTCTAATCACATCCTCAGTCATAGGAGAAGAGTCATTGCTACTTAACTTTTAAAGGAGTCAGTAAGGGCGGATGGGCATTTTAAAAGGATGCCTCCCTTTAGAGGTGTTCTCCTCCAACTAGGAGGAGTCACCAGGGTAGACCCAATGCACCCTGGAGGGATTATGTAACCCATCCAGCCTGGGAGGGCCCTGGATCCACCAGGATGAGTTTGAAAGCGTTGCTGGGGAGAGGGGTGATTAGGCCAATTTGCTGCCTTCATAACCCAACCCTGGATAAGATGAGAAAATAAACGGATAGATGAATGGATAAGGTGTTTTTCAGTACCTTGCCTTGTAAATCATGAGTAATAGAGTCTTGAAAGTAACAGGAGGCTAAAACAGTGTGATGTGACATAAATGTTCAGTCTGTGTGAAACATCAGGCAACAAGAACAACCCAATTCGGCGGCGGATAACACGTGTTCGATGTCCCACTTGCTAAATTAGTACAAAAACTTTGGAATAAACTGGATGTCTTTCTAGTCTATAGTGCAAAGAATCTTTTCCTTTTCATGCCAGCACTGAGAGAACTCCCCAGTACAGCAGAGTTGAAGGGTTGCAGCTATCGAAGGAGTTATCTATGGCAATGGTGGAAGTGGAAACAAAGATGAACCCAAGGGATCTGCCGGGGCCCTGTGTACTCCATACTGGCTCCCATTAGATGTGACAGGTGATATATTGTGCGAAGGGCAAAAACAAACTACTCAGCAAAAGCAGGCAGACGTTGATAAACGAAGGCACACTGGGCTCATCATCGGGGAGCTGAGGGATTTCTCCGGCAAATGCCACCTCAATATCTAGCCGAGCCGTCCAGCCCAATTAGGCTAGAAGATGTGCTGTTTTAAGGACTGTATCTCAGTGACATCTTATACTCTTCAGTCAGAGGTTCGGAATGTAAAATGTCAAGTGTCCCATACTGCTCCCTGGGCTGTTATAACCCAGCTAGGAAGTAAGATATGGCTCTAATTCAACACTTTTAGAGAGCCATTTATGAAGTTAGCCGAGCGGTTCAACAGTAAGGACAAAAAGACGCTGTAATTTTTCCAACATGAAACCATGCCTGTAGAAAGGTCAAGGGGTCAATGAAAGCCTTTGAAAATGTTGTGTCACTAATAAGCACACACAGATACAACTCCCACAGTGAATCAATGCATTGATTGAGTGTAATTTGTAAATATTGTGGTATTGATTTGTTGTTCGGCGCTACACTGAGCTTCTAATTCCACACCTTTGAGAGGAAAAGAGAAGTAACTGACTGTAACTTACGCCATCAAGTTAGGCAACCTTTGCTTCACGGCAGAGGGTTTCAACCTATATCTCATCATTGTATTTTGCTAAATATTCTTATTTCTATGCGCTGTTCCTTTAATCATTTTATCTTCCTTTTAAATGTTTTAATGTAAGAATTTATCCATTTTATTTGGAATGAGTCCTGTTGTTAATTTACCTGCATTAATGTGCACTGATGTGTATCACTATCACTGTGTTGCAGCATTTTACACTGTGGCATTTGTGAGGGAAACAAAAAATGATGGTCTGTGCTGAGGTGCAACATGCTGCATCCGCACCAATCAAGTTGCATCTTTGGTCAAAAGTCTTCCACTGAGAACCCACCAGTGTATCCTCACTCTGTACTCCTCCAGGGACCTCCTCTCCCTTCAATCCTCATCTCCTCAAGGGCACATTTAATCAATGGAAAGATCCTTCAACATGATTTCCAGGTCAGACAAAGAGAGAGGCTGCACGGATGAATATAATGAGAAGCAACTAAAGCAGTCAATTGTTTCCCCACACCCTTTATTACTTGTTGCCCCTTTCCTTGGACCAGAAGCTCTGTAATCAAGGTCATTATTTTGATTATTGTGGTGTTGGTGACAAATATAAAATTAACAGTCAATTATATATTTGACGTATTTTATGATTGGATCTTAGATATGTCCGAGAAAGACACAAGCACTCAAGGATGGATGAATCAAATCTACTTTTTAAAGATTTCGTCCCAGACTGCTGTTTGTGGGAAAACCTGCAGAATCATCTGAGCCACAGCAACATGTGTGAGGTTGGAATTAAAAAAAAAGATGTCTGGAAATGCTGCTGGGTAACATGCAACAACACTGTAAGCAATAATTTAACACACAATGTTAATTACACTTACTCATTATAACAGTCATGAAATCGACAACCTTGACACCAACTTTTTAATGTTTGAAGACAGACTTTCATAATAGATAAATGTAAACAATAATAATAATAAATAAGAGTGAAAATTGATCATAAAATACATTTTCTCTTATACCCTCAGTTTTGATCAACTATGTCTGTGTTTTTAGAATTTAATCTGGCCTGTTAAGATACTTCTAAAGGGAAAGACTGCCCCTCTGTGGAGATGCTGCAAAATTACAGGGGAGCCATCTGCTAAAGTCTCTGAGATGGGTTTTGCAGGTTCAACAAGTTAATGAAAACGATGTCCATAATGGGCCTTTAGGAGAGAAAAAAAACATGTCTACCTGACCCTTTTATATGCACAATCACACACAGTTTCAGAGCCAAAATGTAACCGAATCTTTAATGTGAAGTCCCTAATTGTAAAAACTCATCTCTCCTTTATTTGTGCCACTTTAATTCGAACATATCCCACAGTTTTTCATTTTGTTGCTCTTCAGGACATTCTGTATGAGAAAGAATTTGTTTTTTTTATCCCCAGTTTGTGTCAACCTTGATTCTGTTTTACTTTAGAGGCATCTTGAGCCTCCTCTGGGACTTCAGCTTTCATAAGTGCAACCACTACATGCTTTTTATACTATTATTTTAAGTGACAGAACAGCTGAAGAGAGACAGGAAACACGGGGAGGTAAGGGTGGAGGAAAAGCAAAGGATCTTGGTCTGAGGCCTCTGTACATGGGTTGTATACATTTTAACCACTAAGCAAACAAATGCCCCAAGTCAATCAGTTTTTAGGCATAAATATGCTGACACTGTTAGCACAACAGAAACTTAAAGAGCACAGGTTTTAAAAAGTAGATCTGAACATTAACAAAATGTTGGTAAAGAGACCATCAAATTAGAAAGTTATATCACAGGATGATTCAGTGATTAAGCGTAGTCAAATAAAATCAAAAGAATTAGATAGAGAAACAGATTTAAATGTATCCTGTTAAAATTCACAGACAGCAGAGAATATTAGGTCAGTAAAAATGTTAAAAGCAATGAGGCAGGAAATGAAATGATTAGGTTTGAGACAGTAGTTAGAAACAGGATGTGTGCAAAAAATGCCCTAGAGATAAATGGGTGGAGGTAGGGGGGGTGAACAAGTGAAAAACTTCAGTTCAGTAGATGCATGTGCTTATCAGTGGTTACATGTCTATATTTAAACTGTGAAGCGAACCGTGTTACTGAAAATGTGAATCTGACAGTAACACCAGAGCATCAAGAATAACTGCTGTTAACTTAGACTATACTAAACAGACATGAAAAATGAAGCTAAATGAAATATTTGGGGGGCAGTTGTGGTTTAGCCTTATATGCAAGATGCCCAAGTCTTATCTATTACTTTATCTATTAGTAGTTTCAAGTTTTACAATTCTAAAACACCTTACTATTTAAAATTATGCTGTTGCTATCAGTTATGAAAGCACCCTATTATTGATCAGAGCAGTAGCTATGCCAAACCATAAAAAAAAAGGCTGATGGACAACTTCAGGGTGAATGACTGGAAGACAAGCAAAACAAAACAAAAAAATTTGGTCCACCATAAGCCTTATATTAGATTACCTGGGGCCAAGTTTTCCAACCGTGCCAGATTTCTTTAATGACGACTTTCTTCTGAATTAAAACTGGTAGAGCAAAATTGAACTGTTTTGGTCTTGTAAAGTAGACTTGTTAGATTTCCTTATATACAGAAGATATTTGTTCTTTGTTACATACAATATTAAATCTGCTTAAATCTCGCCCATATTCTTAGTCTGCAGATTAGACCTGCTATCCCCGGTGTTATTTAGTAAAATATGCAGTCAAACTGAAAAGATCTTTGCCCCCCCACCCGGTCTTGTACCTACCTGCACAAACACAAGCACAACTATGCAAACAGCCTCTGTATATATTACAAACTACTTTCCATACTTGTAAAGACATGCTCTGACATAATCCCTCACCCCATACTTTACAACCATCATGACTTCATGCCTCACCCAGAAAAAATCTGTTTTGTCTAAAACACAACCTAGAAAGTCTCCATCTTTCATAAGAAGAGCAACATTGATTCCATAAGGGACATTCCATATGTTTAATATGAATATGTATACTATTAATTTAATAAATTCAATATTCATGACTATAGATGAGCCCAAAATTCTCAGTTTTAAAGTGTCTTCTCTGATACAAGAGCATGCTAGTCCCTGTTACACACAAAGGGTGACTCAAGGTTTATAAAATATACTTGGTCTAAATAGCTCAATTTTAAAAATTCTAGAGAAACCTGCTTTATGTGTGATGCCAAAAAATATCCTCACGCCACTGTTATTTGGAGGTCTCGGTGCTAAAAGTCCACTTTAACAGCAAAGCTAGCACAGACAATGTAAATCCTTTTACCTGTGCTGGTTGAGACTGTTGCATGCCATGTAGTCTCACAAAATATGTCGGCATACTGGAAAGTTCACATTCAGTGAGGCGTAGACCATGGGGTCAAGTGTGAGCGCTGCATGTTAAAGGTCACAAAAGAGGTAACACTTATTTCTTTCATCCAGCTGGACTATTATTTCCATTTCGAACATAGCTTTGTCAAGTACTAGACTCTGACTGGCCAGTGCTCCATAGCAGTAGTCTGTTATTTCTTGATAACAGACCATTAAGACTAATAGATGCTGCCTCGTGCAGATTACGGAGGTAATGGACTGTTTTCAACACAACCAGGCCTATCATCCAAAAAGAAAAAAGTTCTGCTCGAAGTCATGAACAAATTTCCTGCAACCATTCTGAAAACCTTGAGCTAACCATGTCTTCATAAAGTTTTAAAAAATGTTTGAACTTGTCATTCATAGCTTTGCCTGGGAGTGTAGACCTTTAGTCTCCTCTGCACAAAGAGAAAAAAAAGTCTCATTGGCAGATTCATTCAAAAAGAATGTTCCAGAAGTTCACACCCACACCACTGGAGTACCTTTCTCTGGCTTTTCCTCCCACCAGAAACGCTCAGTTTCAAGCTTTAAGGATGACCTTTTCAACTCTGTATTCGAGGGATTGAAATAGGTAGGAAACCGTGGACGAGAACAGACATATCGATTTGTTACTTTAAGTAGGCTGTTAAATTCACCGACTAGCGTGAACACCAAAAGTAAACAGTGGTCTGTAACTTGGCTCTTGCAGCACTTAAAGTAAATCTAATTCCTATTTCACATTTTTCTGAGGTTGACACACCACACATGCGAGTTGCTTGGATTCCTTTTCAGCCCTTGGCAAACCACTTTCTTCCTCCTCAACTCATGGCTGTTTAGCTTGTTTTTAGCACAGGTGAGTTTCCGGTCTAACTTTTCAAAATAAAACATCGATGAGAGTCGAGGAACTAGGCTTTGCCAAAGCAATGTCTTTGTAAACTATGGACCAATAAAAGAGAAAAGAACAATGCTGAAGGCTTGAATATTTGATGTCAGCACACACATTAAGACCTTTAATTGCATACTGTGTATAGGTTAAGCTAGTGTAAATGATCATGGATCTATCCTGAGATAATAAGATTGTTGCTAGTGACAAAAACACCTTAATTTAATCAAACATACCTTTATCTTGTTGTTTTTTTCTCTTTTTCCTCTTTCTTTTCTCTGCTACTGAAGGATATGTCCTCTTTTGTCACATTGTTTTGCCCCATAACTATCTGCACTTTGGATGCTTAGTGCACATAACACAGCAGAAGGCACATAACGGTAGCGGAGCTTTGACATATCTGCAGTAAGAATCATAGGCCTACATCAGCAGCAGCACTAAAATGTTTTTACTTTATTTTATTTTTACATTAATATTTATTTGATCATTCAGAAAGCATCACTCATACATGCAAAAAATAAAACATATTATATATATATATATATATATTGATTGCTCTTGGGGGGCCCTTATTGGCCTGAGCCCCGAGCAGGCGCTTAGTTTGCTTATGCCTTGGGCCGGCTCTGCCTGTCAATTTTAATAACATACATACAATTTCAATTTAAATATAGTTGTATTAATTAAAACTGCATGGTATTCTTTGAACTCTGGCATTTAGGTGAAACTGAAAACCACAATAGTGAAAAAATATTACAGTTTCTTTCTTGATGTATATTGACATTCAGTTATAGGCCTACTCATTCTTTAAACAAGTTTGATATTTTTATGACACATGTAATGAAATTTGTCTAAATTAATTCAATTTTCCTTTTCTCTGCTTAAAAGTCAGGTAAATCATTTTATTTTTAGCCACTCTGTCACTAAACTTCCGGATGTATCTCTGTTATGTCCCGTAACTTGATGGTTTCTTCTCACTTGAGATCTGCGATCTAAACAGTAGAATTTTTCTCTGAGCTCACAGGAGGACGGAGGGTGGAGGAGGAGGAGGAAGAGGCCACTTCAGCTGCGGACATTTAAGGAAACGGAGCTGTCATCACAAGGTGAGACATCCACATAGTGTCATATTATTTTCAGTAGTCTGTATGAACTGTGTGAAGGAAACATGTCAATGTGATGCGCACCGGGAGTCACTTTGAGTTGCTGCAAAACTTTTCTGACCCGCCCTGAATGAAGACCCAGAGGCTTAACAAAATTTGCTGGCAGACCGACGTGACCCCGTCTATTTAACATTCATTTTTTCACTCCAGCAATGTCTCCAAGCTTACGTTAAAATACCTGAATTTATTTACATGATGATGAAATTTTACTTGGGGAGAAGGAAGGAAGACAAAATTCATCACGGCAAGTGTAACTCTCCTTTCTCACCAGCTGCACTGCTTCAACTTATCACGTTGCGGTAAAACAAGAAAGTTAAACTCATAGAAATCCTAATATTACATAGTTACTTATTAAAACTAGGCTCATCTGTATTTTGGAAATAGGAAGGGGCATGACTTGTCTAGGTCCAAGCAGTTTTTTGTTCTCAATCTTGGCTGTAGATGCTTGGACATTTGGATGATATTTCAGTGAGACAGGTAGGGGAGAGTGGGGTAAGTTGAGCCACCCCCTGTTGCTTGGAAATGGTGAAAGAAAGTGATTATGTCACCAAAGATTTAGGAGATAAATTCATGAAGTCTGTGAAGGTTAGAAGCACATGGGTGAAGGGGTGAAACATTTTTCACTCTTTAAAGTGAATTTAGTCTGTCATAAGTTTGATTAGAATTGTGTTCAGACCAAAGAAAGATCATTTTAAATTTGTTATATACATCATGTGTGGTATCTATGAGCAACAACATGAACATAAAGGTCAAAAAGTAGTTCTGGGGTAAGTTGAACCAGCTGCGAAAGTAAAGGAGTCTGATGAGAGGATCAGAGTTTCATTTCAGATTGTTGAAATATGTTACTTTTTCAAACATACAGCAGTGAATGTTCTGAATCATTAAAGACATTCTTATGTTAAAATGTCTTTTTACAAAACAGCTTTTTAGCAGCTATATGCAATAATAATAAAAAGAATTATTGTACCAGTTGAATAGGGTATAATAGATAAAAATACACACGCATGTAAGTTGACCATTGGAGGCCACTTTTATTCGGCATGCTATATTATCAAGACAGTTATGTTTACACTCATTCTGTTGGTTTGCAGGGATGCACAACATCTGCATATCTGCAGATACACTCGTTAGAGACAAAACTATGATTGCCTTGATGTAGTGATCTGAAATATGAAAATTGGCTCATCTTACCCCACTCTCCCCTAAAAAGAGTTCTGCGGTGAACTATAAGAGATCCAGCAAAAGCATGGCTTGTCTTTTCTTTTACACAGCATGAAATAGAAATTATTGACTCTCCCAGTGGGGTTTAAAAATGTTAATGGAACAATAAGCAAACAAACATTAGAGAAACGAAACAGAGAGTTCGAGTTTGAGGGCAATCTATGTCAACGAGTGAAATCAGATATTCTATCAGCCCCCAGGGTACATGAAAACCAAAGGAACTTCACACCTCTCTGATGAGACCGCGACAGGGTTGGAGGAAGTGACATGATGTAATAAATCGGAAATACATACACATTTGTCACACATTTTACCCCTTCATGGTGCAAACTATGAGTGACTGTGTGTGTAGACAAAACCCATTGAGACAATGACTTGGTATTAAGTTCCTGCCAGTGTGTGTACAGACCTGCCCACCATCATTCAGTAATAAGAGACCTGCAGGAACACATATCAGAAAGTGAAAGATCTGAATTCACACCCTACACAGTTTATGTAACAGCATCAAAGTGGAAGTGCTGAAATATTCCACTGACGTCAAAGGTCACAACTGTGACATTTCACTGAAGTATAGCTACCATTCTGTTAATCTACTCATATTAGTAAAAGTACTTCATTTGTAGTCAGCTGAAAGTAGTAGGTTCTTACTTTCAACCCACGAAACCTACGAAAGCATACTTCCTAGACACATTCTTGTAATGTAACCAAAAGTGTTGACATGTGAAGTAATTTGACTCTGCATCCATCACCTGAGTCATGGCTGATTGTGCAGGGACACTGGATATTTCAATCCAAAACTAACGTGTAATGTTTGAAATAAATAAAAATGACTGCAAATGCAACAAGCAGAATTTTAAGATTTTAAGATGTAACGCGTATTTCAAGGAATCTATCAATACAATTTTGGCTTGAAATATCTTAAATTTGGACTTTTCAGGTCAATGAGGCTTAAAATGAACAACATTTTAAATTTTGTTAAGAAATATGACAGATTACATTAAAAGATTTGAGTTTTTTGCTGAGTAGTCATCAAGCAATCACCTGGTCGCATGCAGATGATAGATAGCTTTTATGTTTTTAGTGATACTTTCTACAGAACAGCAAAATGACTGATTTGCTGTTACAGTTATGTGTGTAAATGTATTTAGTCACCATTCACCCCTGAGCTGTTAGGTCTTAAATAGAAGCACAACACTCCACACCCAGGTGACAGTGCCTTAACACACAGATGAAACTTTGTCTTCAGTGAAAAACGACAAAGCGCAAGTTCTTGGTAAATAGCGCCCAGTGAAGACATGACCCTGTTGTGGGATAAAGAGACTTTATTAACACATATTCAACTTTTGTGTAAGTGAGACAGCAACAATTTGTTGTTGTTCAGGAGAAAATCCATGGCAGTTTTCTGCATTTTCTTGAAACTGATTCGTGCAGGTTTCATTCTCAACCATGCAAACATTAGAGAGCCTGAGGGTCTGCTTATCCCCCATCTGCTCCGGCATCCTGAAACCAGGTAGCACTGTCCCTTTATTGCTCTGTTTCAGCCATAACAGGAAATTTAGGGTAAGCCAAGCATCCATGACAGTTCAATTAAAACTGCTTTTTTGAAACAACTCACCTGTAAACATTTGAAACACATTTACAAACAGATCACAGCTGTCAAGCTCGAATTGATGGCAAATACTGCAGAGTAATAGACAGCAGGATGGCTATACCCATAACATAATTATGAACAAAGACAAATAATGAAAAAAGAAGACAAACAATGACAACAAATACAACACATCTTTTAGTGTAAACTACAAAAGCCATAGTGCTCAAGAGAAAGCAAGTATGAATGACTGAATTAGCTCATTGACATACAGCAGTCTAATGTAATTTCATTGGTCCTCGTTTTTATTTGATGTGAGTTTAAATGAGGTACAGAAGGTACAATATCTGCAGAAACTTATTTGACTTTCATGTAAAAAAAAATACATGCCATTTATAGCACAAGGTAAAAATTTTACACAAAAGCCAGATTTTTAAAAATATGGTTAGCTGTCTTTAAAAAAACATAATCATAAAAATAATCGGAAACAAATACAATAATGCTAAATGAAGGGATGCACTGGGCTCTTAGCAGTGGATATTAAAGGGTGTTGAATGACAATATAAACTGTGTTCTGCAGTATGAGATAGCAGGTTGACTTGAAAATGGCCTTCCTGATATGATATTTTATGGGTATTTATTTTCACTTTGAGATTGTATGTGTGGCTGGATGGAAGCTACCCAGGGACCCATGATACTCAGACAAACGCAACATAATGAAAATCATGTAAATCATGTTTGGTCGGGAGAAAATCACCTGTCGATAGTGTTCTTGGGTTAAAATAAAACAGTTGTTTATTTGCAGCCTGTGATTGCAGTACTTAGTTTACCCTTTTTGAAGCATTATGCTTTGTTTTTGACCCCAGGTGTTTATACAATGATACCAATCCAAAAAGCTGAAAATGCATCAACTTGAAAAACAAATTTGTTTTGCTTTGTTTTTGATCTTTGAAATTTTGTTTGCAGGAACCAGCCACTGATAGTCATGGCGACCATTATGATGGAGAAAATCGGGCGAGTGTTTATCAGCCTGCAGCAGATCAGAGAGGTACCCCGGATACTAACCGAGGCTGCGCCCTCCATGCCTGGTACTGTCAGAGACGCTGAAGTCCCCTCCTACTTCAGAGAGCGCCACGTCACCACCGGTTACCGACCGCTAAACCAGAACTGGCGGTACTACTTCTTGTCTCTATTCCAGCGGCACAACGAGACCATCAACGTTTGGACTCACCTTTTAGCCTGTTTAATTCTTCTGGTGAAGCTTTTCCAGCTCTGTGAGACCGTAGACTTTGTTAGTGATCCTCATTCATGGCCTTTGTTTGTCCTCGTTCTGTCCTCGATGATCTACTCTGCATTCAGTGCATTAGCGCACCTACTGGGGGGCAAGTCTGAGGTGTATCACTATGTCTTCTTCTTTCTGGATTATGTCGGGGTGGCACAGTATCAGTACGGCAGCGCTATAGTCCACTTTTATTATGCTGTGGATGAGAGCTTGCACAGCTACATGAATGGGATCTTCATGCCTGCAGCTACTGTCCTCAGCTGTCTGTCCTGCCTTGGGTGCTGCTATGGTAAATACCGCAACCACCACCTTCCAAACTGGGTGCGCAAGGTGTGTCAAGTGGTTCCCTCTGCACTTGCCTATACCTGGGATAGCAGTCCTGTGGCTAAAAGACTCATGTACTGGTCTACGGCAACCGACGACCCAGCTATTGTCTATCACTTCGGGCAGGTGGCTTTCTTCCTCAGCTGTGCCTTCTTCTTCACCTTTCCCCTGATGGAGCGCTGCTTACCTGGGCGTTGTGATTTTATCGGACAGAGTCACCAGATATTCCATGTTTTTCTGTCATGCTGCACCCTGTGTCAGATCCAGGCCTCGTATCTTGACTATACGGGCCGTAGAGAGCTGTACTCAGGTCTGCACAGGAGTGGAGAGGCTGCACTTTATGTGGGACTGTATGTTCTCACTTTATTAGTATGTTCACTGATTGTTGTTTTCATGTTAAGGAAAGTCAAACGAGTGCTTGACTCTAGAACTAAGTCAAAATAATAGACTAGATGTTGTAGGAAATATGCGCAAACGCAATCACACGTTTCCGCTTACTGCCATGGTGTAAAGGGTACTAAGTATTTGTTGCACCCCAGTGTTATGTAAAAGGGTGTTGAAACAGACAGTAGGAGAGATACACAATTATATCTGACAATAGTATCATGACAAAAACTTGTGACATAACAATATGAATTTAGTACAATAACAGCATTTTTATGCATCAGTACAGGATGGTGTTTTACTGTATTTTTCATTGAGAAGAGAACAAATCTGATTCCTCACACCAACAAATTATTGACTATTGCACAGACCAATTTACAAGAGGTTGTTGCAATTTTATTTTTGTATATTATAATGCTAGTATAATATCTAAAAAAGCATACAGAAATGTTAAAATATTTATTATGTTGAAAATGTTTAAGTAGAGTTTTGTTGTACTGCTATAATTTTAGATTTACATTCCTTAAGAACTAACATATTGATATTTTTGTTGGTAAAAACACTGATCACAGATCGTGGGGAAACTTTTTGTACTAAAAATGTATTTAATGAATAAATTAAGAGTCAAGCACTTTTATACAAACCCTATTCCGGTAATGCTGTGCAAATGGTTGATAAAACATATGGGGTGGTTTGAAAGTTATTTAAATCACCATATTGAATAGTAATGAAATAGTTGGAAAAAAAAAGTTGAAACAGAAAATTGTATTACTTCATTATATTATACTTTCTCACTTAAAATTTGATGCCAGTAACTTGTTTAAGATAAGTTGGGATAAAGACAGCATAAGTGAAAAAGTTGAAGAAGGGAATGAAAAAGAAAATTGGAGGAACATCTCCTGACTAGTTAGGTTAATCTGCCGCAGGTTTTTAATGTGATTTGATATTAAAAAACATTCCAGAGAGGCTGAGTCTTCCTGAGTAAATAAAAATAGGTAGAGGTTCACCAGTCTGTAAGAGATCGTGTGAGCAAAAAGATGCTGCAGAATTATGGTCCTGAGTGTAAAGAATTTGGTGATTTTATCATTTACAGTGCAGATAATTTGGTTAATGGCAAAAAAAGCGAACCAAGGTTCTCAGGTGACAATGTGTTAAAAAGAGGCATGACCCTGTAGTGGAAATCACTGCATGGGCTTAAAATGACTGATAGAAACCAGATATGGAAATAACATTTTTCAGTTTCAACATTTTATATTTTGTCTCTGTAATACTTTCAGTTGAATATTGGGTAAAAATAATTAGCAAACCATCAAATTCTGTTTTATCAACATTTCACAAAGCGTCCCATCTTCTTGGAATTGGGGTTGTGCAGTGTGGCAATGAAAAAGATGTAGGGCTACCATTGTACAGGGGCATAATGTAGGAAATGTGGGGCCTTCTATTGTGCCTTGACAGCCTGTTTGCACATCTAATGTTGAATTCAGCAAACAATTGTACTGATAGAGTTAACCTTTTGAAATATATTCTTACTGTTTTTATTAAAACGCACTGCCTTTAGACTGTATAATAGAAAACTGAATATTTTTTTATGAAAGGTCAGGTATTAAAAAAGGTGTCATAACTTTTATAAGGCACAGAATGTATGTGTTGTTTTTGTGACCTACTGGAAATCCTGTTTGTACGTTTTGAGTCAAGGGAAAAGTGAGTATCTGTATTATTTGAGTGTACTAATCAAAGAAAATAGGTATCATGAAAGGTTTTTTTTTTCCAAAACATTGAGAATACTGGAGATATCTCTTGGAGACTGGAACAGAGTTTCGGACAAAATAAGTTTATCATCTCCTGATATCCTACTTGCCACTGTTTTATATCGTCAACAAAAATATTAAACATGTTTCAGAATAAATGTCAAAGTCCCTGTGGATGCATATTAGATATAGTATACATGTCCTGTATGTAAGGGTAATGTATGGGATATGAATGATTGTGTAAATTTAAATCCTAACAGGTTGAGCAGGTCCCTAATGTAGATCTTTGTAATTGACACACCTTTGAACATAAATAAAACAAATGTCACAGCTTTTTAACTTTGTTGCTTTTATCACTACTGCTCATGGTTGAAGTAAACTTATAAAAATCTGCAAAGAGCTCACCAGTTCTGCTGCTGTTGCCTGGATTGCAGGACAGTCATGTTGCTGAAATAAACTAGAGTTCTCCCCCATATTCACACATGTTGACCTTATTTGATTTACACAAGTGTCTTCTACATGTTGTTTGTTAACCCAGTTTTATCAGGGGTATTATCAGGAACATGATGACAATGGAGTGAACAATGAGCTCTCCTTTTGTCTTATCTGTAAAACATAGTTCATGATGCACTGGGCCAAGTTCTTTGATACTGGAATTAAGCAAAGGCAACGTTATGAAGAAGTCATGGATAAACCTCATTTGCATCATCAAATACAATTGAATGCCTACCCTATTGTTTTATGTACTGAGAGCTCCAAATAATAATTTAGTTTAACATCAAAGTATTGTATAACACATAGTTATACAACTGTTGCTAATTTATACATTACCATTGCCAAATTCAATGGCCTTTTGCTTCCTATGTTAGAATTTACCCGCTGTTTGCACATAGATCTCAGATGTTTTCCTACTTAGAAACAAGAAAAGTAGGATATGTTTCCTGGGCCTCAGTCCAAGAAAAACAGGTTAAGATGACAAGATGTTATTCATACTTGTTGATAGCGTAACAATAAACAACAACTGTCACATTCATTTGAATACTGTATGATTTTTGGCATAAAAAGTTCAAATCTCAGGGCCCGTAGATAGCCTAGTGGGTTAAAGGGCATCCCACATATGGGGACCATGGTCTCTACAGCATTTGTGCATTTAAGTCCAATGAATGAATCTTGACACTTATCGCTATGTGCAGCTCTGGGAATCTGTAGGAATCTCTGATCACTCTCTGGTCCATCTCATCCTGACCTACAAGCAGAAATTAAAAACTGTTTAACCTGTAGTGAGGACTGTTAAAAATGGACTAACGAGTCAAAGCTGGAGCTTCAGGCCTGCTTTGACTGCACAGATTGGAGTGTCTTTGAAACTGCAGCCACAACTCTCAACAAACTCACTCACACTGTGACATCCTACATCAGCTTTTGTGAGGACATGTGTGCACAGACTAAGACTTTCTGCCGATGCAACAATAAACCCTGGTTCACACCCAAGCTGTGTCAGATCACTGTACGTTAAAACCAGCCAACACAAAGACAGTTTCTTCCCTCTGGCTGTTAGTCTGATGAATGCCCAATGTTCACTGAAGTGCTACTGTGACTGTAAATGACTTATATAACAGTTTTAACTGCTTATCCATAAACACTCCTCTTATCAGACACATACCTCTGCACACTGTATTTGATATGTAATTCAATGTTAATACTGTATGTATGTGTACCTCATGTACACCTGTAATATTTCTAACCGACCTGCAACATAATGATGAATAAAAATTTTCAATCACTCTTCATTCTGCTGCACTTCTGCCACAACACATATATAAGTTAGATGTCTAGTTCGAGCTTGTACATACTTGGTAATTTTTCTAATTTTGTAATATTTCATGTTTGATGTTTGTACATAGAAGGAAAAGTTTACTGGAGTGAAATTCTTTGTACTTGTACACATACTTGGCCTATAAAGCTGATTCTGATTCAGTGTTTCTCCCTTGTTGGGCCTCAGCTGTTAATTACTTACTGTATGGATACACTTGACACTGCTGCACTGTGCTTATGCTGCATATGTAATTTGAAATCTTAGAATAGCAATGAGCAAAAAAGTATTTTATCCCTTTTTGTGCCGGTTGAAAGACATAAAATATGATCCTGCTCGCCAAAACAATGTGAGGAATAAATAAGTTTAAAAAAAACTTTAGTTTGATGAAAATCTTCTTTACCCTCATCTTACCATTAATCTGCTGTATGGGCCCTGACCTGATGGTATTGTGTTGCAGTCTGCTAAGTCGAACCTGTCTGACAGCCTTTGCCAAGCCTTTTCCTCAGCTTTACTCATTAGCACCACCAGTGCATTGTCAGACTTCCCCCGTTCAGATGAATGAACGGCTGTGTTGGTCTGAATGTGGCCGGTAGTGTGCAGCAGTAGAAAAAAGTCAGGGGCCAGCTCTGCAACAATTAACTAAGGCCTACTCACATGGGCTGCTGAGAATAACAAAAAGGTTTATTATGCAACAGGTAAATCTTTTTTCCCTCTTAACAAAATCCAGCATGACTTTCTCTTGCTCTGTACCAGTTTGTGATTACAAAAACTAAACAGCATGAGACGTCTTGAATTGTGTAGGTTTTTTTTTTCTTTAGGGCATAATGACACACAATGTTACTCCGATGAGAAGACACAGATTAATTATAAAAACACAACATTCAATAATGTGTTTTCAGTTTGCACTTTAAAAAAGTACATGTAATAATGCTTAATACTGACATGTTTCCTATACATTTCCCTGCAGGATCTCTCATATGAACACAATGCAGAGACGCTGTTGCCCCCAAGTGGTCATAAACACAGCTGAATTTACTCAATGCCTGGATGACAACAACTTTGAAACAGGTTGGCTATCACTAATTTTTTCTCTCCTATACTGTGATTGGAAAGCGCCAAAAAGATGAGCTATTGATCTTTGTCTTAAGCACTTCTGCATGTTTAAAATACTCTCATTTTTTTGTGTGTGTGTGAAGTGCTGAGCCTGTGAAAATGCTTTTGATAATCCCTGAAACCTTAAAAAGAAGTATTATTTTAACCTTGTTATATTGTGTCATTCAAGTTAACTAACTGCATGCTACCAAAACAGCCTCTTCTATATTTTCCATGGCAGAGATTTCTGAGGAGTGGTTCAGTGTTTTGTTTAAATAATCTAACCGAGAGAGAAGGGTGATATGAATTGGGCGGGGGGGACAGGGACGGCAATCACAGGGCCCCTGGGCTTTGGGGGATGGCAGTCAGAGGGCCCCTGGGCCACGGGGGACGACAATCAGAGGGCCCCTGGGCTATGGGGGACGGCAGTCAGAGGGTCCCTGGGCTGGCCCTGCTGTAGTGCCTCTCGTGAATACTCCTAAGGGAGCCCTAACGTTTACCAACTAAGGGTTCAAGGAAGTAGGGGGGAATGCTTTCAGAGGGCCCTGTGATTATGAAAGACGCTGCAAAGGGTCGTGACTTCTGGCTGTGTGGGGGCCCTAGGGAGAGCCCTAATGGGAGAGCATACTGTTAAGAGAGCCCTCTGATTACAAATGTTCTTAAAGGGCCTCTGATTTACCAAGGGTTTTGAATGAAAGTCCTTTCAGTGAGCCCTAAGGCCCAGGACATGCTAGCTGTGTGACTTAATTTACGTGCGCAACCGCACATACTTGCAGCAGAACGATCAGAGCACTATGCACGATACTGGTAGTGTTGCCAAAAACAAATCACCAAAAGTCGCTATTGGTTCTCTGACAAGTCGCTAGATTACGTCATGACCTTACTATGATGTCATAACATTAGACACGACTCATTGAGCTCAAGAAAATGTTTGACATTCCCAAAGGGTACAGTTTTGAGATCGGGGCTAATGCGCAGTGCTGCTTAACCATGAAATAAGCTTCTGGTGGCGGTGCAGAGCTGAAGTTACAATGAAAAACAATGATTTTGACACTCGAGAGTTGTTGTTTTTTAAAGTCACCAGATTCACCTACAAAACTGCTAAGTCGCTAGATGAGGTATTAGTCACCAGAGATGGCCAAAAGTCGCTATTCGACCCCATGTAAAAAATTGATGGTTGGAAAATAAAGTAGGAGTTATCTTGTTTGTGTTTTTACATTTCGGAGGAGCTGACAGATGAAGACAAGGCTTGGCATTATTTCAATGTGATTAGACCAGTGGTTCTTAACTGGGGTTCTATCGAACACCCTAGGGGTTCGGTGAGTCGGTCTCAGGGGTTCAGTGGAGCCTCCGCCACGGAAGCCTGGCTGGGCCATCCTGTTGCGTCAATCACTTGATGTTCCTTCCCACCACAGTCTGGATTTCGGCCCATAGAGAGCATGTATTCCTGATCAGAAAATAACCGGGCCAATCAGAGACTGTGTTTCCACTGTTACCCGGACAACAGAGCAATGTTCTGGGTCTAATCACATTGAAATAATGCCAAGCCTTGTGTTCATCTGTCAGCTCCTCCAAAATGTAAAGATAACTCCTACTTTATTTTCCAACCATCAATTTTTTCTTCACCCAGCCTAAAATTCCTGATTATCAGTTCTGGGTCCCTGGCGATGACTGTTGGGTACAAACTGTGAAGCTCTGCTCTGAAGGTAGGGCTGGGCTTTTCATTGACCATGTGGGTGGATTAGTTGTGTGGGCAAAGTTTGTCATCTCAGCCACTATGTTTTCTGCAGTTTTGAGTAGACAGCACCTTGATAGCTCAGTTGGTAGAGCAGAGCACTGTAGGAAGTTCCTCATATGAAGCGCTGTCATTCCAAGGTCGCTGGTTCAACTCCTGCTCGAAGCACCTACATTTTGTTGGTGTAAGCAATGTTCTAGGTCTAATCACATTGAAATAATGCCAAGCCTTGTGTTCATCTGTCAGCTCCTCCAAAATGTAAAGATAACTCCTACTTTATTTTCCAACCATCAATTTTTTCTTCACCAAGCCTAAAAGTCCTGATTATCAGTTCTGGGTCCCTGGCAATGACTGTTGGGTACAAACTGTGAAGCTCTGCTCTGAAGGTAGGGCTGGGCTTTTCATTGACCATGTGGGTGGATTAGTTGTGTGGGCAAAGTGTGTCATCTCAGCCACTATGTTTTCTGCAGTTGTGAGTAGACAGCACCTTGATAGCTCAGTTGGTAGAGCAGAGCACTGTAGGAAGTTCTTCATATGAAGCGCTATCATTCCAAGGTCGCTGGTTCAACTCCCGCTCGAAGCACCTACATTTCGTTGGTGTGAGCAATGTTCTGGGTGTAATCACATTGAAATAATGCCAAGCCTTGTGTTCATCTGTCAGCTCCTCCAAAATGTAAAGATAACTCCTACTTTATTTTCCAACCATCAATTTTTTCTTCTGGGTCCCTGGCAATGACCGTTGGGTACAAACTGTGAAGCTCTGCTCTGAAGGTAGGGCTGGGCTTTTCATTGACCATGTGGGTGAGTTAGTTGTGTGGGCAAAGTGTGTCATCTCAGCCACTATGTTTTCTGCAGTTGTGAGTAGACACTACCTTGATAGCTCAGTTGGTAGAGCAGAGGACTGTAGGAAGTTCCTCAAACACTGTGGTCCAAAGGTCGCTGGTTCAACTCCAGCTCGAAACACCAGATTTCATTGATTTATGCACTGTTCAACCTTTTTCATTGACCATGTGACTCCAATAGTTATGTTGGCAAAGTGTGTCGTCTCAGCCACTATGTTTTCTGCGGTTCTGTCTATAAGCACCTTCATAGCTCAGTTGGTAGAGCAGAGGACTTTAAGAAGTTCCTGAAACGCTGTGGTCCAAAGGTTGCTGGTTCAACTCCAGCTCCAAACACCAGATTTCATTTGTGTATGCACTGTTCAACCTTTTTCATTGACCATGTGGGTCCAATAGTTATGTTGGCAAAGTGTGTTGTCTCAGCCACTATGTTTTCTGCGGTTCTGTCCATAAGCACCTTCATAGCTCAGTTGGTAGAGCATAGGACTGTAAGAAGTTCTTGAAACGGTGTTGTCCAAAGGTCGCTGGTTCAACTCCAGCTCCAAACACAAGATTTCATTGGTATATGCACTGTTCAACCTTTTTCATTGACCATGTGTGTCCAATAGTTATGTTGGCAAAGTGTGTCGTCTCAGCCACTATATTTTCTGCGGTTGTATCTATAAGAACCTTCATAGCTCAGTTGGTAGAGCAGAGAACTGTAACAAAGTTCCTGAAATTGTGTGGTCCAAAGGTCGCTGTTTCAACTCCAGCTCCAAACACCAGATTTCATTGGTGTATGCACTGTTCAACTTTTTTAATTGACCATGTGGGTCCAATAGTTATGTTGGAAAAGTTTGTCTTCTCAGCCACTATGTTTTCTGCGGTTGTGTCTATAAGCACCTTCATAGCTCAGTTGGTAGAGCAGAGCACTGTAAGAAGTTCCTCAAACACTGTGGTCCAAAGGTCGCTGGTTCAACGCCAGCTCCAAACACCAGATCTCATTGGTGTATGCACTGCTCAACCTTTTTCATTGACCATGTGTGTCCAATAGTTATGTTGGCAAAGTGTGTCGTCACAGCCACTATGTTTTCTGCGGTATTGTCTATAAGCACCTTCATAGCTCAGTTGGTAGAGCAGAGGACTTTAAGAAGTTCCTGAAACGGTCTCGTCCAAAGGTCGCTGGTTCAACTCCAGTTCCAAACACCAGATTTCATTTGTGTATGCACTGTTCAAGCTTTTTCATTGACCATGTGGTTCCAATAGTTATGTTGGCAAAGTGTGTCGTCTCAGCCACTATGTTTTCTGCGGTTGTGTCTATAAGCACCTTCATAGCTCAGTTGGTAGAGTAGAGGACTTTAAGAAGTTCCTGAAACGCTGTGGTCCGAAGGTAGCTGGTTCAACTCCAGCTCCAAACACCAGATTTCATTGATATATGCACTGTTCAACCTTTTTCATTGACCATGTGGGTCCATTAGTTATGTTGGCAAAGTGTGTCGTCTCAGCCACTATGTTTTTTGCGGTTGTGTCTATAAGCACCTTCATAGCTCAGTTGGTAGAGCAGAGGACTGTAAGAAGTTCTTGAAACGCTGTTGTCCAAAGGTCGCTGGTTCAACTCCAGCTCCAAACACAAGATTTCATTGGTATATGCACTGTTCAACCTTTTTCATTGACCATGTGTGTCCAATAGTTATGTTGGCAAAGTGTGTCGTCTCAGCCACTATGTTTTCTGCGGTTGTGTCTATAAGCACCTTCATAGCTCAGTTGGTAGAGCAGAGAACTGTAACAAAGTTCCTGAAATTGTGTGGTCCAAAGGTCGCTGGTTCAACTCCAGCTCCAAACACCAGATCTCATTGGTGTATGCACTGTTCAACCTTTTTCATTGACCATGTGTGTCCAATAGTTATGTTGGAAAAGTTTGTCTTCTCAGCCACTATGTTTTCTGCGGTTGTGTCTATAAGCACCTTCATAGCTCAGTTGGTAGAGCAGAAGACTGAAAGAAGTTCGTCAAACGCTGTGGTCCAAAGGTCGCTGGTTCAACTCCAGCTCCAAACACCAGATTTCATTGGTGTATGCACTGCTCAACCTTTTTCATTGACCATGTGTGTCCAATAGTTATGTTGGCAAAGTGTGTCGTCACAGCCACTATGTTTTCTGCGGTATTGTCTATAAGCACCTTCATAGCTCAGTTGGTAGAGCAGAGGACTTTAAGAAGTTCCTGAAACGGTCTCGTCCAAAGGTCGCTGGTTCAACTCCAGTTCCAAACACCAGATTTCATTTGTTTATGCACTGTTCAACCTTTTTCATTGACCATGTGGTTCCAATAGTTATGTTGGCAAAGTGTGTCGTCTCAGCCACTATGTTTTCTGCGGTTGTTTCCATAGCTCAGTTGGTAGAGCAGAAGACTGTAAGAAGTTCTTGAAACGCTGTGGTCCAAAGGTTGCTGGTTCAACTCCAGCTCCAAACACCATATTTCATTGGTGTATGCACTGTTTAACCTTTTTCATTGACCATGTAGCTCTAATAGTTATGTTGGCAAAGTGTGTCGTCACAGCCACTATGTTTTCTGCGGTTGTGTCTATAAGCACCTTCATAGCTCAGTTGGTAGAGCATGGCACTGTAAGAAGTTCTTGAAACGGTCTGGTCCAAAGGTCGCTGGTTCAACTCCAGCTCCAAACACAAGATTTTATTGATATATGCACTGTTCAACCTTTTTCATTGACCATGTGTGTCCAATAGTTATGTTGGCAAAGTGTGTCGTCTCAGCCACTATGTTTTCTGCGGTTGTATCTATAAGAACCTTCATATCTCAGTTGTTAGAGCAGAGGACTGTAAGAAGTTCCTGAAACACTGTGGTCCAAAAGTCGCTGGTTCAACTCCAGCTCCAAACACAAGATTTCATTGATGTATGCACTGTTCAACCTTTTTCATTGACCATGTGGTTCCAATAGTTATGTTGGCAAAGTGTGTCGTCACAGCCACTATGTTTTCTGCGGTTGTGTCTATAAGCACCTTCATAGCTCAGTTGGTAGAGCATGGCACTGTAAGAAGTTCCTCAAACACCGTGGTCCAAAGGTCGCTGGTTCAACTCCAGCTCCAAACACCTGATTTCAATGGTGTTTGCACTGTTCAACCTTTTTCGTTGACCATGTGGGTCCAATACTTATGTTGGAAAAGTGTGTCGTCTCAGCCACCATGTTTTCTGCAGTTCTATCTATAAGCACCTTCATAGCTCAGTTGGTAGAGCAGATGACTTCAAGAAGTTCCTGAAATGCTGTGGTCCAAAGGTCGCTGGTTCAACTCCAGCTCCAAACAACAGATTTCATTTGTGTATGCACTGTTCAACCTTTTTCATTGACCATGTGGGTCCAATAGTTATGTTGGCAAAGTGTGTCGTCTCAGCCACTATGTTTTCTGCGGTTGTGTCTATAAGCACCTTCATAGCTCAGTTGGTAGAGCAGAGGTCTGTAAGAAGTTCCTCAAAAGCTGTGGTCCAAAGATTGCTGGTTCAACTCCAGCTCCAAACACCAGATTTCATTGGTGTATGCACTGTTCAACCTTTTTCATTGACCATGTGGGTCCAATACTTATGTTGGAAAAGTGTGTCGTCTCAGCCACTATGTTTTCTGTGGTTCTATCTATAAGCATCTTCATAGCTCAGTTGGTAGAGCAGATGACTTTAAGAAATTCCTGAAACGCTGTGGTCCAAAGGTCGCTGGTTCAACTCCAGCTCCAAACACCAGATTTCATTTGTGTATGCACTGTTCAACCTTTTTCATTGACCATGTGGGTCCAATAGTTATGTTGGCAAAGTGTGTCGTCTCAGCCACTATGTTTTCTGCGGTTGTGTCTATAAGCACCTTCATAACTCAGTTGGTACAGCGGATGACTTTAACAAGTTCTAGAAACGCTTTGGTCCAAAGGTCGCTGGTTCAACTCCAGCTCCAAACACCAGATTTCATTTGTATATGCACTGTTCAACCTTTTTCATTGACCATGTGGGTCCAATAGTTATGTTGGCAAAGTGTGTCGTCTCAGCCACTATGTTTTCTGCGGTAGTATCTATAAGAACCTTCATAGCTCAGTTGGTAGAGCAGAGGCCTTTAAGAAGTTCTTGAAACGGTGTGTTCCAAAGGTCGCTGGTTCAACTCCAGCTTCAAACACCAGATGTCATTGCTATATGCACTGTTCAACCTTTTTCATTGACCATGTGGGTCCAATAGTTATGTTGGCAAAGTGTGTCGTCTCAGCCACTATGTTTTCTGCAGTTGTGTCTATAAGCACCTTCATAGCTCAGTTGGTAGAGCAGAGGACTGTAAGAAGTTCTTGAAACGGTGTGGTCCAAAGGTCGCTGGTTCAACTCCAGCTCCAAACACCAGATTTCATTGGTGTATGCACTGTTCAACCTTTTTCATTGACCATGTGGGTCCAATAGTTATGTTGGCAAAGTGTGTCGTCTCAGCCACTATGTTTTCTGCGGTTCTGTCTATAAGCACCTTCATAGCTCAGTTGGTAGAGCAGAGACTTTAAGAAGTTCTTGAAACGATGTTGTCCAAAGGTCGCTGGTTCAACTCCAGCTCCAAACACAAGATTTCATTGTTATATGCACTGTTCAACCTTTTTCATTGACCATGTGGGTCCAATAGTTATGTTGGCAAAGTGTGTCGTCTCAGCCACTATGTTTTCTGCGGTTGTGTCTATAAGCACCTTCATAGCTCAGTTGGTAGAGCAGAGGACTTTAAGAAGTTCTTGAAACGCTGTGGTCCAAAGGTCGCTGGTTCAACTCCAGCTCCAAACACCAGATTTCATTGGTGTATGCACTGTTCAACCTTTTTCATTGACCATGTGGGTCCAATAGTTATGTTGGCAAAGTGTGTCGTCTCAGCCACTATGTTTTCTGCGGTTGTGTCTATAAGCACCTTCATAGCTCAGTTGGTAGAGCAGAGGACTTTAAGAAGTTCTTGAAACGGTGTGGTCCAAAGGTCGCTGGTTCAACTCCAGCTCCAAACACAAGATTTCATTGGTATATGCACTGTTCAACCTTTTTCATTGACCATGTGGGTCCAATAGTTATGTTGGCAAAGTGTGTCGTCTCAGCCACTATGTTTTCTGCGGTAGTATCTATAACAACCTTCATAGCTCAGTTGGTAGAGCAGAGGCCTTTAAGAAGTTCTTGAAACGGTGTTGTCCAAAGGTCGCTGGTTCAACTCCAGCTCCAAACACAAGATTTCATTGGTATATGCACTGTTCAACCTTTTTCATTGACCATGTGGGTCCAATAGTTATGTTGGCAAAGTGTGTCGTCTCAGCCACTATGTTTTCTGCGGTTCCATCTATAATCATCTTCATAGCTCAGTTGGTAGAGCAGAGGACTTTAAGAAGTTCTTGAAACGGTGTGGTCCAAAGGTCGCTGGTTCAACTCCAGCTCCAAACACCATATTTCATTTGTGTATGCACGCTTCAACCTTTTTCATTGACCATGTGGGTCCAATAGTTATGTTGGCAAAGTGTGTCGTCTCAGCCACTATGTTTTCTGCGGTAGTATCTATAAGAACCTTCATAGCTCAGTTGGTAGAGCAGAGGACTTTAAGAAGTTCTTGAAACGGTGTTGTCCAAAGGTCGCTGGTTCAACTCCAGCTCCAAACACAAGATTTCATTGGTATATGCACTGTTCAACCTTTTTCATTGACCATGTGGGTCCAATAGTTATGTTGGCAAAGTGTGTCGTCTCAGCCACTATGTTTTCTGCGGTTCTGTCTATAAGCACCTTCATAGCTCAGTTGGTAGAGCAGAGGACTTTAAGAAGTTCTTGAAACGGTGTGGTCCAAAGGTCGCTGGTTCAACTCCAGCTCCAAACACAAGATTTCATTGGTATATGCACTGTTCAACCTTTTTCATTGACCATGTGGGTCCAATAGTTATGTTGGCAAAGTGTGTCGTCTCAGCCACTATGTTTTCTGCGGTTGTGTCTATAAGCACCTTCATAGCTCAGTTGGTAGAGCAGAGGACTTTAAGAAGTTCTTGAAACGCTGTGGTCCAAAGGTCGCTGGTTCAACTCCAGCTCCAAACACCAGATTTCATTTGTGTATGCACTGTTCAACCTTTTTCATTGACCATGTGGGTCCAATAGTTATGTTGGCAAAGTGTGTCGTCTCAGCCACTATGTTTTCTGCGGTTCTGTCTATAAGCACCTTCATAGCTCAGTTGATAGAGCAGAGACCTTTAACAAGTTCTTGAAACGGTGTTGTCCAAAGGTCGCTGGTTCAACTCCAGCTCCAAACACAAGATTTCATTGGTATATGCACTGTTCAACCTTTTTCATTGACCATGTGGGTCCAATAGTTATGTTGGCAAAGTGTGTCGTCTCAGCCACTATGTTTTCTGCGGTAGTATCTATAAGAACCTTCATAGCTCAGTTGGTAGAGCAGAGGCCTTTAAGAAGTTCTTGAAACAGTGTTGTCCAAAGGTCGCTGGTTCAACTCCAGCTCCAAACACAAGATTTCATTGGTATATGCACTGTTCAACCTTTTTCATTGACCATGTGGGTCCAATAGTTATGTTGGCAAAATGTGTCGTCTCAGCCACTATGTTTTCTGCGGTTCCATCTGTAATCATCTTCATAGCTCAGTTGGTAGAGCAGAGGACTTTTAGAAGTTCCTGAAACGCTGTGTTCCAAAGGTCGCTGGTTCAACTCCAGCTCCAAACACAAGATTTCATTTGTGTATGCACGCTTCAACCTTTTTCATTGACCATGTGGGTCCAATAGTTATGTTGGCAAAGTGTGTCGTCTCAGCCACTATGTTTTCTGCGGTAGTATCTATAAGAACCTTCATAGCTCAGTTTGTATAGCAGAGGCCTTTAAGAAGTTCTTGAAACGGTGTTGTCCAAAGGTCGCTGGTTCAACTCCAGCTCCAAACACAAGATTTCATTGGTATATGCACTGTTCAACCTTTTTCATTGACCATGTGGGTCCAATAGTTATGTTGGCAAAGTGTGTCGTCTCAGCCACTATGTTTTCTGCGGTAGTATCTATAAGAACCTTCATAGCTCAGTTGGTAGAGCAGAGGCCTTTAAGAAGTTCTTGAAACGGTGTTGTCCAAAGGTCGCTGGTTCAACTCCAGCTCCAAACACAAGATTTCATTGGTATATGCACTGTTCAACCTTTTTCATTGACCATGTGGGTCCAATAGTTATGTTGGCAAAGTGTGTCGTCTCAGCCACTATGTTTTCTGCGGTTCTGTCTATAAGCACCTTCATAGCTCAGTTGGTAGAGCAGAGGACTTTAACAAGTTCTCGAAACGGTGTTGTCCAAAGGTCGCTGGTTCAAGTCCAGCTCCAAACACAAGATTTCATTGGTATATGCACTGTTCAACCTTTTTCATTGACCATGTGGGTCCAATAGTTATGTTGGCAAAGTGTGTCGTCTCAGCCACTATGTTTTCTGCGGTTCTATCTATAATCATCTTCATAGCTCAGTTGGTAGAGCAGAGGACTTTAACAAGTTCTTGAAACGGTGGTCCAAAGGTCGCTGGTTCAACTCCAGCTCCAAACACAAGATTTCATTTGTGTATGCACGCTTCAACCTTTTTCATTGACCATGTGGGTCCAATAGTTATGTTGGCAAAGTGTGTCGTCTCAGCCACTATGTTTTCTGCGGTAGTATCTATAAGAACCTTCATAGCTCAGTTGGTAGAGCAGAGGCCTTTAAGAAGTTCTTGAAACTGTGTTGTCCAAAGGTCGCTGGTTCAACTCCAGCTCCAAACACAAGATTTCATTGGTATATGCACTGTTCAACCTTTTTCATTGACCATGTGGGTCCAATAGTTATGTTGGCAAAGTGTGTCGTCTCAGCCACTATGTTTTCTGCAGTTCTGTCTATAAGCACCTTCATAGCTCAGTTGGTAGAGCAGAGGACTTTAACAAGTTCTTGAAACGGTGTGGTCCAAAGGTCGCTGGTTCAACTCCAGCTCCAAACACAAGATTTCATTGGTATATGCACTGTTCAACCTTTTTCATTGACCATGTGGGTCCAATAGTTATGTTGGCAAAGTGTGTCGTCTCAGCCACTATGTTTTCTGCGGTAGTATCTATAACAACCTT